TGTGGCCTTCACAGGAGCACATACCAGAAACAAGGCCGGAAGGACCTGGGGGCCAGGCTCCTCTAGGCCACGGAATGCCTGGTGCCCTTTTCCGGTGACGCCCTTTCCCAGTGGTGCCCCAGACTGGTCAGGAAAGATGGGGAGGACACTGCCTCTGGAGAGTCCAGACAAACCCTCTTTACATCTAACTCTCGTCATGGAGTTTTATTGGGAACTTGCAGCCTCCTCTAGGGGGCGACCTGTATGTTTTCTGACTTTCGAAGACCGTTGTACCCCACTCTTTCCTCAAGCACAGGCCTGTCAGCTGTCCAGGAGACACAGATGGGGGCTCTGCCTTCCCCAGGGACAGCTCACACTTGTGGAATGCTCCCTCTAGGCTGGGCACCAGGGGAATCTTCGGACATTTAGCGAGGAGAGAGTAATTTGGGCAGAAAACCCAGAGGCCTTCCCGGAAAGAGGACACCAGGACCCCAACTCTTGAAATTCCAGGGTTGGGTTGGGGTCTGACTGGTGAGCAAGGCCGAGGAGAAGGGCAGAGAGGTGCGGGCGTTCAGTCTCGAGTCTTACTTTTTACCTTTCCCCCCCGGGAAAAAAGATACTTTGTGCCTTTTTCTTGTTCCTTTCTCATGCTGTTAGCTGTGCTCACAAGGAAGCAGAGGGTCTGTGAGTTTTTTGTTAGCAAAATGCTGGGCCAGCCTCTTTGCGTGAGTTGCCCGGTTTAATCCTCCCAGACAACCTCAAGGGGAGGGTGTAAGGCTTCCAGAGCCTGTCTCACGGCCGGATCGCCCAGTGGGTGTGAGCACAAACTGGGGGGAAGAACCCCGAGGCCCAGCGATGGCCTGACACTGGCTTTGTCACATTCCTTGTGCTTTGTGTTTCTCAGTTGTCCTCTCATCTCTTTTCTTTCTTGAATCAGTGCGACGTTGAAACCATGACTGATTTTGGGCAGTTTGCGTTCCTGCTGCAGTGACCCCAGAGGAGGTCCGTGGGACTTGGCGGTGTTGTGTGCTGGTTCGGTGTGCAGATTCGGGCCTCAGACTGCCCGGGTTCAAGTCCTGGCTTTGCTACCTATGGCCTGTGCAGCCCTGAACAAATCATTTAACCTCTGTGTGCTTCGGTTTCCACACCTGCAAATATTTATACTAATTAAATCAACGATTCCAGGTAAGGGCTCAGGCCAGAGGCTGACACTAGCAAACTGCTGTTTTTATGGTTCGCTGATCACTGATCATACCTGCTCCGCCTGAGGCAGGAGGGGTGGAGTCCTGGGAAGAAAAGAGTGGGGGTTGCGGGGGTGGAAAGCGCACTTCCTTAGGGGCTGGGAGCCCTGGATTCTGAACCCGTCTCTGCTAACGCCCCAACCTGGGTCTGCTACAGCAGTCTTTCCGGGTCTCTTGACCCCAATGGCAATTGGTAATAAAATTTACTGAGCTTGCAGGGGCTACATTTACCTGCCCAATCTCTGGATCTTCCTACCCTGGTTCCTGGGTAGGCTCTTTTGCCATCTTCTTTTAACAAACTAAAATCTGAGGCTCCGAGAAGTTAAGGAAAGCGTCCAAAGGCACACAGCCATACAAAAGCAAGAGCTGAGATCTGAACTCAGGAATCTGACTCCTGGCCACAGGCTTCACAGCTGGTGCTGGCCGCACGTGACAGCTGTGACTGAGAGCCTGGGTGCAACCAGCCCATCACCCCTCCTGCATGGGAACGAGGACAGGAAGGAAAGCCGTGCATCCCCTCCCCCACGAGAGGCCCTGATAGCAAAGGCAAACATTCAAGTCCACACCCTCCGATTTTTCAGCCCTTCCCGACCTGGGGAGTTTTGTCTGATCAGGTAATGGAATTGTTTTCAGTGGCAAGAATGAGCTCATTAAGGATGCAGCTTGTGCTAATAATGATAATTTGCTGTGCAGTGAAATCACCTCTCTACCTCCCCCGACAGAACGACGCTCTAGAAATTATAGGCTAGGGAGAAACAGAAAGGATAAAGATTAAGGACTGTGATGCAGAACGGCTTCGACAAAAGGAGTTACAGATTTGCACTGTGAAGCTGGTGGTCTTAATCTTGAACTTGCAGAAGAATTAGGTACTATTAAACAATTTTAAAAATCGCCTTTATTCGGTTCTGTTCCCTCTGTCACTGGGTGTTGGTTTTTTGTTTGTGTTTTACAGTTCAAGTTGTTTTTTAAAGGTTGGTGCCAAGTGAATTAGTTGACTTAAATTTGGATGTGTGATGTTATCCCATGAGTGGGGCCAAGAGGAGGGAAGTTTCAAGGGGCCTTTTTGGTCTCCACTCCCCTTCATTTCACGGCAAAGATCTCAGTGACCTTGAACCCAGAGCAGACATCCACAAACTCTGTGGTTTTGGAGAGGGGACCAGCCAGCTACCCCTCCCATGTGGTTCATTTCTGAGGGACCAGCAGAGATGACATGGGCTGGGCCCCTCCGGCCCTGGTGGGTGAAGGATCTGTCCCTTGATTTCCTTTCTGGGACTTGGTGGAGTCACTCTCCAGGGCTTCACAAAAACTAGAAAAATCCTAGCTGTTCTCTGAGCCTTATAAAAAAGAATGCCAGCTCCCTTGCAATGAGATGTACAATCTCTAATATACAACCTCTGAAAGAGTAACAATGTGTCTGCTAACCAATTCAAATGAGGATTCTTAGAATAACATCTCTTCCTGATTACAATTGCTGTTGCCTGTGGAAAACTGGGAGAAAAAACACAAACAGGAAAATTAAAAAGACTGATAGCACCATCATGTGAATAACCGTGAATAACCACTGTTGGCATTGTGGGTTAGCTGCGTCTGCTCGCGAGCCTCTTTAAAACAACCAGCGGGATTTTAGTGTGCGTGCGTGTACACAAGGTCTGCTGTTATTATGCCTGTTTTTTTTTTTTGCATGTATTGTAGCAAATGTTTTTCCACCACAGTATTCTCCTATCACATTATTTTAGAATAATCAGAATCCCTGTAATCCCAGGTTCCATGGGGCTTGGGGTGTTGCTCCGTTTCGTGTGATACTCACTCTTTATCCACATCCTTGATGATTTCCCTAGACCATTCCAGTGCTGGGGCCCTCTGGCTATTTGGTGAAACCTGTGGGCTTCTTCTCAGAATAATGTCTTTAAATGTAAAGCCCTGGCTGGTGTGGCTCGGTGGGTTGGGCGTCATCCTGCAGTCGGAAAGGTCGCTGGTTCAATTCCTGGGCAGAGCACATGCCTGGGTTGTGGGCTGGGTCCCCAGTTGGGGACAGGCATTGGAGGTGTGCAAGAGGCAACCAACTGATGTTTCTCTCACACATCGATGTTTCTATCTCTCTCTGTCTCCCTCCCTTCCCCTCTCTCTAAAAATAATCTTTAAAAATGATAAATGTAAAGTAAAACACAGGAGAATATAGAGCAAATTAATTATACTGAAATAGTATCAAAATATTAGAAAGAACAGATTTGTGAAGTGTGTTTCTTTACGCATGTATTGAATAACCATGTTAGCAAGGGAGTGGCTCTAATAACTGCAGTAATGACAAAGTCGTGATCCCCAGTGACATGGTTTCCAGCTGTCTGTAACAAATGTCATAAGATGCGAAAAGAACTGTGATTTCTATTGGGCTAAGGCAGCGATTTTCAACCTTTCTCATCTCGTGGCACACACAACTAATTACTAACATTCTGTGGCACACCAACAAAATCATATTTTTTTTGCCAATATGACAAAAAAATAGGTATAAATTTGATTCATTTACACTGGATGGCTATTATTGTATTGGCTGTTGTTGTTATTTTATCTTGTTTTTTACTTGACAATCTAAGGGAAGAGAGGTCAGTACCCCTGACAATAGTCAGGTGTTACATGTTTTAAAAACTCTTGTTTCCACATCAGGTGGAAAACTGCTAAGGTCTCAGTCTTAGCCCTTAATTCGGCTAAGGTCTCAGGTAAGGCTACAGTGTCTCCTACAGTCATGAGAAAAGGCAATACTAAGATTCGCTGGAGGTTAGTGAAAACAAAGATGTAACTTTTTCTTGCTCATCTTTTTTCTCATCACAGTCAAAGCTATGACTCCTGATTTCTACCCATGGAACCCTGGGTGTCCAGGGAGCCGGGGTGAGAGTCCCTGCCTCGGCCAGAGCCCCAGGATGACGCATTTCCTCACTGCCCAGCAGCGCTCTGATTTCTTCCGAGTGTCAGCGGCCACCCAGGGAGGTCAGAGACAGTGCCTGTCAGTGGCAAGAGGAAGTTAGCCAGCAGTGTGGGTTGAATTGTGTCCTCCCAAAAAGGTATGATGTTGTCCTAACCCCTGGTACCTCCGAATGTGGCTCATTTGGAAACGGGGTCGTTGTGGGGGGAGTTGGCTAAGTTTAGATGAGGTCATACTGGAGAAGGGGGGACCCTAATCCAATGTGACCAGTGTCCTTTTAAGAAGACAGCCACGCAAAGACACGGAGACACAGCGGGAGCCATGTGAGGACAAAGACAGGCTGCAGCTGTGCACCGAGGATTTGCCGGCAAAGCCCCAGGAGCTGGGAAGACGCGAGGAAAGATCACCCCCTAAGGTTGTAGAGGGAGCACGGCCATGCTGACTCCTTGAGTTTGGGGGCTTTCAGAAATGTGTGCTGTCTTAGGCCACCCAGTTTGTGGTACTCGTTACAGCAGCCCCAGGAAAGTACAGCGGCTGGTGCCTGCTCGTGGCTCTCTCCTGGGGACTGGGATTCTGAAAAACCAGGGTTGGGGTAGGCTCCGCATCTGTGAGGTGTGGGGGCTACGGGGTCTGGGCCCAAGACGGCTGATGGGGACGGCCAGGTGAGAGGGCTGGGCGAGGCTTCCCTCGCAGCCTGGTCCAGGTGCACGACGTTACCTCAGGGTTAGCAAGAGGTGGGCCCCACCCTGGCTCTTCTCCAGGTTAACATACTCTGGGCAAAAAACACCCCACAGAAGCCCTGAGCAAGCTGAGAAGTATCCTCTTTATTCCTACAGGACAATAAAAGGTCTTTTTCATTCATGGCATGCTATTGCTAACCAGCTAGCGTGCTGGTGTCTGTAAAAAAAAAAAATTCTTAAGTTAGGAAATGTCCCAAAGTGCCTCTTGGGGCATGGGTGAGGGGCTGGTGCTCTCGTAAGAATGGCAAGTTTGGGAGCGCCCCCTAGAGGTCAGCCCCTTAGGAGGCTCTCCGCATTAGCCTTCTGCATCCTTGGCGGAGGACAGTGGCTCCAGATAAACCTTTGCGCTGCTGCGTGGTGTCTGGACACTGCCAGACGGCGCTGGGGGTCTGGGGTCCTCTCTCAGGGGTTTTGCAAGGACGGGACAGCTTCCATCTGGAAGAGAAACCATCTCCGTAAGCTGCAGTCAGGTGGTCTGGCGAGGCAGGGAGGCCAGTGCAAACACTTTCTCCCCTCTACAAAAATACTGGGAAGGGAGGAGAGGGTCCTGCCTTACCTGGAACAGAAAAGTCCGGGTATTTTGGCAGCAACCCTTCACGGTGCAAAACTCTTGAAGGAGGAGCAGGAGGAGGTTGCGTGGACCTAACTCCATATATTCTAACATAAGGACATAAGTCATAGAGTTACTCCTTGTATTAATAATTTAAAAAAAGAACAAATATAATCTACGCAGGTCCTGGGTGAGCATGGTATGTTTAGTTCTAATCCCTGCCACTTATCCTAAAGGTGAGGATTATCATCTCCATTTTACAGAAGGGAAAGCCGAGGCTGTACGAGCTGCCCTGTGCAGCACCCTTAGGGCCTCAGGTTGCTCCAAGGATGGTGGCCCTGGTGGTTTTCCTGCCAACAAAGGCCACAAGCAGGCCCCGGGAGAATCCTGGGCAAGATGGGGAACACAGGGGGCTGCCTGCTAGTCAGGCCCTGCAATGACAAGCGAGGGCCCAGGTGAAGCAAACCAGACACAGCCCTAGTGCTGGGGCAGCTGGGAACCCCCGGGCCAGACCCGCTCCTTCTCCTTGCACCTGCGGTTGTATGTACCCCCAGCCACACTCACTCCTCGTATGGTTTCAGAGGTGCCCTCTTGGCCTGCTCCAGGATGTCCAGGAAGTCCTTGTAGCAGTTTCTGGCCATGACGGTGTACCGTGTGGCGCAGCCTAACTCAGTGACCCTGGCTCTTGGCAGGTAGCCCGCCCAGCCGGGGATCGGGGGCTCCTGGAGAGGTTTCTTCATGACTTTGCATTCTGTAAAGAGACACCGAGCTGCCTGAGGGCTTTGAGCACCACGGGCAGTGCTCCCCAGTTGGCTGGCACCCCAACAGTTAGCCCGGGGGAAGCCCTGTGCCTGCAGATGTCCTGACCGTGGCTGCCACCAGCCGGATGACTCTCCGTGGCAGGTGCTGCGGCAGAGGCTGTCCATATAGCCTCTTATTTCATTCTCTTACAAACTGTTAGAAGTTGGTGCTATTATTACCTCCATTTTGGAGAGGAGGAGGCTGAGACTTTAAAGAGGCGAAGAGAGACTTGGCCAAGGTCAGACAGCAAGGAAGTGGTAGCGCCAAGACTCAAACCCATGTCCGACTGATTCCCAAGTCCTTGCCCTGAGACAGGTCCTGCCGCTTTCTCAGATGAAAAGCTTCAGGCATCGCTCTTTGATAATTTACATAAGGGAATCAAGGGAAGCATCCACCCTGACCAGCATGGCTCAGTAGGTTAGGCATCAACCCACAAAGCAAAGGGTCACTGGTTCGATTCCTAGTCAGGACACATACCTGGATTGTGGGTTTGGTCCCTAAACAGGATACGTGTGAGAGGCAACTGATTGATGTTTTTCTCTCACATAAATGTCTCTTTCCCTCTCTGTCTCTCCCCCTTCCCTGTCTCTATGAAAACAAACAAACAAACAAACAAACAAAACGAGAGAGAGAGAGAAGCATCCGGATGAGGAGGAAGCCCTGGGAGGCCGTCTGCAGGCCATGAATGACTCTGTCCAGCCAGCTGACCTTGGGCGATGTCACATTTATGAGGTGAAAGATGACTGCCCCCCTGCCTCCTCCAGTTGCTGTAAAAATCACATTGGGCCACCGAGTCCCGTAACCTCAGAGCTGGAAGGCTGCCTAGGGAGCATCCTTCCCCGCCCCGGGTGAAGGAACTGGAGCCCAGAGAGGGGAAGCAACCTGTCCTGGGTCACACAGCAAGTACTTGCTGAGCTGGGCTCGATCCCAAAGTCTTAGGCAAATATTCTTTGCCGTGTCTTGGAAAATTTTAAACCATAAGAAATGTGTTCTTGAAAGTCCCCAAACAATTATAGCAATAACAATAAAGTCAATCGGTCCATTACTCTTCCTATAAGCCTTTAGACCTGAAAACAGTCCAGAGCATATCACTGTTGTGATTTTAACATTATATGATTAGATTGTCAGTTGTTTTTGTGGTTGTTACTCAGTGTAAAACCTGGTCACGCCCAGCTAGTACCTGGAGGAGCTGGGTTCAAACCTAGGTATGACCTCAGACAGGTCCCTTCCCACTCTCTGTCTCTAAAATGGGAATGACAGGGGCAACCTCACGGGGCTGTTGTGAGCCATTGACGAAATGATGGTGGCCGGCCCAGAAGAAGCAGAGACAGCCTGTCTGAACTCATGGTGACTTCCCCGGGGGCTGTCAGTTCCCAGTACCCTGTCCCCTGACATGGGTCCCTCGCCCCCTGGAAACATTTCCCATTTTAAGACATTGGGCCTTTCCATTTTCACTGCCCCAGGGGATTTGGAACAGTGCTGCATTCTGAGCTCTCTGTGGCAGCTCCAGGGGGGCCTGCCGGGCCCTGCACCTGGGCCCTGGGGTGAAGGGGGCTGCTTTCCGGGAGCTGGTACCCAGACTGAGGGGGTGATGCTGCCGATAGTACTGGTGCAGTGCCCGCAGGACTGTCTCCTCTGAGCAGATGGGCTTCAGCCTCGGGGCAGTGGCCACGGAGCAGCGTAATTCCTCCAGCTGGTCTTTGTAGCGCTGCGTCTTCTCCTGGAAGGCTTGCAGACACTGGCCCATGCGGTCCTCAGCGGAGGTTCCCTCGCAGCTCAGGTACGGGATGAAGCCTGCGAGAGGCGACAGAATCACCGCCCTCAGCAAGGACGGGGAATCTGCCTAAATGCCCCCGAATCTCAGCCCATAACCTGGCAGTTCTCTGGCCACCAACACTGCATTTTTCCAAAGGCCATTCATGCAGGCAGGGCTGTTGTTTCGGCTGTGGCTGGGCCCTGCCAAGGCCGCAGAAAGAAACAACCTTGGAGCCGGGGAGGGAAGGCCGGTTTCAACAAAGGCGATGACAGTAATATTCTTTGATAGCAAAGCCCCTGATGTCAGCCTGAACAGTAAATGGGGAAAGCATGTAATGGGCCAAAATGATAGACTGAGGAGTAATTGAAATTATTCGTCTTTTTTAGAGAGAAAGCTTATTTTCCTTGACACTTCCCAAAGGCAATTTGGGATCTTTCTTGTCGGACCATCGGGAAATTGCGGGCTTATTAAAAGCAGAGACCTATTACACAAAAAGGTAAATTCATTATCTGCAAGACCCACCCCTAGAACAATTTTTCACCATTTCCCAACAAAATAACAGATAATCATTACAATTAGTGGGGCTAAAGCACAACTATTTACTTAAACTGGATGCTGAAATCCTAAGTGCTATAATATCGTCACAATGAAACCACGTGTAAAAGAAAGGACAAATGAGGAAAAACTGGTTAAGAACTTGCTTTTAAACTGCAAGAATAAATACATTAACTCTCATGACAGAAGCCCAACAGTTTTGCCTTTGTCCCCAGGTCAGAGGCACCTGGCTTCAGACGTGAAAGCAGCCCCCAACCACCCCCCCACCCCCCAGCTCCCTGCACCTTGCAGGAAGGCACCTCTGAGAAGAACCTCTGAGATGTGATCTTGAAGTTCTCCACCCACCACCCTGTCTCCCCAGAGCCTTGGGCAATTAAAACACACCCCGATGTCATGGGGGAGATGGCAGACAGCCGGGGGCCTTGCTGCTGTGGCTTTTCCTCCACCAGGGCCTACTTTATAAAATCACACAGATGTCCACACCCAGGAATACAAGCTGCCTTTAAGGAGTCTTGCTAAGGGCTGAGACATTTTCAATAGGTTGGGTACGCTGGCTCCTGTAATCCTCACCACAGTCTTATATAAAAGTCCATCACTACCCCACGCAGTTGCTGGAACCGTGTATCCCTCAAATACATTTGTGCAAGTTCTCACCCCTGGTACCCATGAATGTGGCCTGATCTGGAAATAGGGTTTCTGCTGATGCCATTAAGGATCTGGTGAGCCCTAAATCCAATGCCTGGTGTCCTTATAAAAGGAAAAGACAGAGATTGGAGACACAGATGACACAGGGGAAAGGCCATAGGCAGAGCCCTGTGGCAGAGATGGGGGCGGAGACTGCAGGGACGCTCCCACAAGGCGAGGAGTGCTGGGCCACCTGAGGCTGGGAGAGGCGAGGCCCTCCCCGGAGCCCCCAGAGGGAGCCTGGCCCTGCCCACACCTTGAGGTCAGACTTCCAGCCTCCAGAGCCATGCGATGACGGACACGCCCACTTTATAGAAATGTTCACTTCCCACAGGGAGGTAAGTAACTTCAGAAGGTGCCCAGTCTGAAACAGGAACCTCAGTGTGTTAGAACCCGGAGCCTGCTCTCTCAATCCACCAGCAGGACCAGGGGAGCCTGGGCCACCTTGGAATGTGGCCCCTGCACCTCCCCTCCTCCGAAGCCCTGCATGTGAGGGCCAATCGGGGTCACTGGGTTTGTCACGGAGGTGTCTCAATGAGTTCTTGGTAGCCCAGAAGCCTTCAGGTAGAGGAGCAAATGTTCTGGGTGCCAAGGACTTGAGCATTAGTTGGAACTTTCAGTAAAACTGGGAGTGCCCTGGGCGAACCAGGGCAGACTCCCCACTAGGGGACACAAGGAATGGGACCACAAGCACAGGTATGCTGTAAAACTTGAGAAAGCCCCACTTGGGAAGAAGGACAGGCCTTAGCTCTGCCCATAGTGCTGTGTCTGTCCTGGCCCAAATGCATTCAACCGACATTCGCTCAGCGCTTTCTGCATACCCAGTGGTGCCTGGGGGACTTGGCCTGAGTTATATCTCTCCATCAGCCATCTTCAGCAATGGGGCGCACTTAACAAGTATCTTAAAAGCTGAAGCGCCTGTACCGCCCAGTCAGCCAGACAGACACAGGCAGTAGGCCAGAGCAGGGACAATAACCGGGACTATGGCTCTCGGGGCAGGCCCATCTCTGCAGGGCACAGTGCCACTCACCACTGTAGCCTGGTGTGATTGGCGGCTGTCTCATGAAGGGCTTGGAAGACTCCATGATTTTGCTCTCTGCTAACAAAGGGAAGAAGGGATGAGTTTCGCATCATATGTCCCTGTTTTAAGAACTCACTTCAAGTGAGCTAGAGCCCTTGGGAGTCAAGTGACCTTGCCAGGGGGCTGGGACGGAGGGGCAGTTTCACCACCTCACACAAACCAGGAGAGGTTGCTGGTTTCCGTCACAACTCCCAGGGGCCTTCACCTTGAATGTGAACTCAGATATCAGGTGTGCAGATCAATCACCACCCCCCCAAGGTCCCTGCTGCCCTGGGGGGGCTCCTCACACCCCACCTTCTTGGCCAACCTCCCATCGGTCCTCCATCGGACATCGTGAACTGTATACACACTCTGGCCACCAACTGTGACCAAGGTTAGGAATCAAAAGATGAGCAAGACCCAGGAGCCCCCAGGTGAGACTTCAGAACTTTGGGGGAGGGGAAAGTTGAGGCACCCTCACCCCAGAACCTCTTTCATCCGGGGGGAGTCAGGCTTCAGTGGCGGCTTTTGCTGCCCACCGCCACCCCTCCCGGGACACCTGGCAGGGTCTGGAGATATCTGGGGTTGTTGAGACTTGGGGATAGGGTGCTACTGGGACCCAGTGAACAGAGGCCAAGGATGTCACTCAGGATCCTGCAAAGCACAGGGCAACCCCTCCTCAAGGAATAAAAGTGAGTTCTGGCTAAAGGGATCAGAAATCCTGACAGGCTGGCACGGAGTCCAAGGTGGGAGAGCAGTGGCGGGGGAAGGGGAGGGGGGTGCTGTAACATCAGCTGCGTGGAAGCTCTTTCCAGAGCCAGACCCCTCCCCTCTCCGGGGAAGGCTGGTGGTCCCCTCCCCAGATGGGCCAGGAGCAGCATCTCAGGGTGCCGGTGGGCCCAGCCAGCTCATCTCCTAAAAGTGATGTTCTCCCACCAGATCAGGGGCCTCCGGGGTGAGGGGAGGGCCACTAGACAATGCCGGGAATTTTTTAAGCAGTTCAGACATTTATAGACTGCTTGCTAGGGGACATGCTGCCTGCTGGGCTGCATTCTTGTTAAATCCTCAGGGACACCCTCAGGGTTAGTTCCTATTTGGGTCCCCATTTATTGAGGAAAAAATACACAGAGGTTAAGTAACTTGTTTGTGGGTTGTCATGTCCAAGGAGGTGTGAACGGACTACCTCCCAACTCTGAGCGGCAGGACTTAAATTGCCCAACCGTGAGCCGCTGGGGAAGGGGGCATCACGCAGCAGCGTGGTGGTGGCGGCGGGCTGGGCAGCAGCGGACCCGCCGGGAGCCTGCCTGGAGGAGGTGGAAGGGAGGAGGTTGGATAGGAGACTTACTAGGTAGGGAACTAGGTGCCAGGCAATGAGTTCTGGAAGCGCAGGTACCGGCGCCCCTTCTTTTCCCCACCCCCACCCCTTCCTGAGTCGCTCACCTGCGCTGGCCAGAATTTCCGCCCAGCCACGCCTCCTGCCCAGCCGAACTCCGCCCCGCCCCCTCCGGCCCCGCCTTTGTGAGCTCACCACCAGCCCCGCCCACACCCGGGGAAGGGGGAGGGGAAAGGGCTGCGTAGGGCTCCCCAGCTTGCACCTTCCCTTTTCCTCACCCGCCAGCAGCCCCACTCAGGGGCAGGGGAGCAGGGGAGCCGGAGCGGATGGGCGGAGGAGGGGGGCGGGGGCGGGGCAGGGAGGCGTGCCTCGCTCAGGAGTAGTGCCACAAATACCTGGTCTCCCGAGCCGATCTGGGCCGGGGCCCTCTGGGTCCTGGAATTTGGGGTAGGGCGCGAAGGGACCTAGGTCAGACCACCTTTTAGTGATGTGAACACGGGCGCTGCCTGGGTTGGAGCCGGAGGTCCGGTGGGAGGAAGAGGGTCGGCAGGCACAGACCTCCCTCCCTCCCTCGTGCCCAGTCGAGGCCCAAACTCGGCGCCCTGTGAGAGTCTAGCCAGTGCAGGAAGCAACTGAAAGGAGGCCTTGTCCTTGGCGGCTTTCAGATGCAGGTGCTCCCCGTGGGCTTCTTCCACCAGCCCCCTGCCTTGCAGCTATTAGGAAAGATGGATTTCCAGCCGGCCAGGCAGGTACCAGGGCAGTAAGAGGCAATGCACCTAAATGAAGGGATGACTGGGGACTGCGGCTGTAGTCCTTTCAAACCATCCCCATCTTATGGGCACCAAGGCGGGATGGGGGCCAGGCCCTCAGCTCTTCGAAGAGCTGTATGACTCTGGCACTGTGTGACTCAAGAGGGCACGCAGGGAGGCGTGGCCTGCACAGAGCTGGGGTCCCAGCCCCTTCCCTGTACAGAGAAGGAAGTGGAGGCCAGACTGCTTGGTGACACTGTTTTCTAACACTCATTTGTTTGTTTATGCGCCTCCCAGCCTTCCCTACGTCACACTATCCAGAAGTTTCCAGAGCCAACTCTGCAGGGAGACCCAGACATAGAGCCTGGAATAAACCCAAGACTCTAGATGCAGCAGCCAGGTTGGTATGCCTGCTAGGATGTCAGAGGGCAAGGCACCAACCCTGACCTTGTGCCTTTTAAAAAAAATTTTAATTTCAACAACCTTCAATGGGCTCAGTGGCATTGTCAGTGGCCAGCCTGGCTTACCTGCTCTTCCTCTGGTTAGACCACCTTGATCCAGCTTGGAGGGGTGGGAGCCTGCCTTCCCAGCGAACAAAGCGGCCAGTCTGCTTGCAGTGAAAGTGGACAGAGCTTCGCAACACCTGAAAAATCTATCTCCCCGAGATGGGAGGCAGGAGGAGGTCAGTAACGATGAACCTAAAATTCCATTTACACGTTCAGAGCAGACAAAAAAAAGAAGTCTGGGCCACATGAGATCCAGTTTTGTTTTATTAGACATCTGTGAAGACAGAGTTTGCACACATGACCTTGTCGAGTCATGAATTGCTGCAAGGTTCTGTAACGTTTGAACAAGACCCCATTTAGAATATAGTTCCTTATTCCAAGCAGATGAGAGGTGTAACATAAAGGCCAACAACTTTTTATAGTAGTCATCCAGTTAGGCCATTTCCCAGCATAAATATGCAGCTTAATCACAGCTATTTCGTCTCTACGTGAAGTTCGATCGTCGACTAATAATGCATTTTGACTCCTGTTTATATTGGTGCATGCGATTCTTTGCCACCCTGGTGATTAACCAGACCTGGACTCTAAAAGCTAAACTTGATCTAAATATCATTCTAAGGATAGGGCAGGCTCTGTAATCTGGATGCCTCTTAGACATCACTTTGCAAAAACGCTTGTATGTCTCCTCCCCTTATCTGTTTGTAACTTGCCTGTCATTCAGCGTTTATTAATACCTGCTGTGTACAGAAAGGGCAGTTACAAAGGAAATCCTTTGACAGTCCTGCCTCTAAAAGGTGAACATCAGATAATAAGCCGGGGACAACTGATAACGTGTCAAGACAACAGATAACGTGTCAAGACGACAGGCCTTTTAGAAATTTTCCAGGATCAGAAAATGTGTCCAAGGGTACTCATCCAGTGCTCTTACTCTACTGTACTTCCGTGGGGGAGGGGAGGAGGCATGGATCTGAGGAGTCCCTTTAAGGAGCCCCACTACTGGGGCTACATCTTTGGGACCAGAAGAAAGTCCAGTAGAAGTACCACTGCCCCTCCCCCCTCTATCTGCCAACTCTACACTTCAATCAGCTCATTTTCAGAGAAATAAATAGTAGACAAAGAGACATCCTTAATGCAAGGTGGGAAAGGCCTACCATTAGCAAAAAAAAGAGGGACTTGACTCTTTTACCTTACATTTAATGTAGTGGAGAAGCTGGGTCTGCGCCCCAGTCAGTCCCTCCCTCTGTCCCTGGTGCACCGGAAGCCTCACAGGCGGCGGACCACACTTTGCCCTCAGAGCCCCTGCCCTCCCCCGCAAGAGGTGTGAGGAGTTTTCCGAGGTTTTTCTGCACACAGCCACTTTGCTTACAGAACCAGAATGTTCAGCTCTCCAAGACTGGACAGGAGAATCGATACATTATTATGTTCCTTTAAACACGAACTGTGACCCTGTGGGAAGGATGTGTGTGTAGGAAGGTCTGACGAAGCTGTTGACCAGGTGGCCTGTCTGTTCGGCACCCGTCGGCCGCTCGGTCTTGCGCACAATGTCCACAGCTTAGCATTGGTACGGATCGAGAAGTAGTAAGCCTACTTGAGAAATGAAGCCATGGAAAATTAAAGGCAGCAACAAAATTCAGCATGTCCCTTTTTTTTAAACCAGAAAAGCACATTATAGAAATAAAGAATCTGTACAATCTTCTAATACTGTATGTACATAAAATTATATTACTTATAACTAAATAGAAAAGTCTTATTTGCAGAGTATGGCTGGCAACACCAGAGACCCATAGCACGTGGCTTGTGGAGCAGAGCAGGCGGCAAGCAAGCCCAGGCGAGCGCACCTGTGTGCCCGGACGAGAGGCCCGGTGATGGCTGTGTGACGAGCATCCCCAAGTTCTGTGGTTGGCTGTGTTTCACATTCTAGTAGGGACTTCTGCAGCAGGCGAGGTGACAAAGGAGACACGTTAAAATGACATTAGAAATGCTATGGCAAATCTGTAGACGGGCGGTGAGGCTGGGCTTGTGAGCCCTACGTGCACTCGGAGCCAGTGTGCTCGCCCTTCCTTCACTCACTGAGCGTGGCCCCAGGATTCAAAACCCAAGTGAACTCCAGCAGGTGGAAGGACAGCTCTGAACGGATCACGTGGGCTGTGAGTCAGCTGTTTGGTTCTCGATCCCCACTCGGCTCCTGGATGGTGGAGAGGAAGACTGTCTTTGGGGGTGGGGCACGCAGCCCCACCCGTCGGTCCCTTTCTTGGGGCACCTTTCTTCCCATCTTCTCACCTTCCTGGGAGGGTTAGAAGCACCATTCCCAAGCCAGCTGGGACCCCAGCCCCATTCACGAGAGGACAAGTGCGGAATCATTGCTCCTTGTGTAAACTGGGAAGGTGGGAGGCCGCAGACTCTGGCCTGTGCCTTGGCTCCCCACACAGCCCTAACGGAGGGGTTCTCAAATGTCAGCCAGACCGGTCTCCTGCAGCGTCAACTGAACCCTGAGGACCCTGGTCCCCTTCTCCAAGACGTGACTTCCGACTGTAAAAGGGGTTGGATCCAGGAACACGACCGTCTGTCTGCTCTCATTTAAGTGCAGCCGGTAGAGAACAGAACATTGTAACAGTCTCAGGGGTACAATGCAGAGACCTGACACTTCCAGGAACCTGCTTTAACCGACACCCTCCAGTGGGTAACCCACGTATCTGCTTTGGAAAAAAAAAAAACCTGGCTAAATTCATGAAGTACAGATCTAGGAATTCCTTCGGGACAGAATTTAAAAACTACCAATTTCAATGCAACATTTCATGGAACAGATTGATTGCCCGCATGCTGACGATGCATTTCATTGAAAATGTGGGAACAAATGGCCAACACTTTCAGGGGGCTGAGGGTAAAATGTGCAATTTAAAATGTGCACATTTTCCAGGGTGAGGGGTTGTTCTTAATTCCTGGGCTTGGTGATGAGAACAAGTCAAAATGCACTTCATTTTCTTCTTCTAAAAAAAAAAAAATCCCACCGAGATGAACTAGAATTACTTATGAATTCAGAAATCAGAATTTGGCGGTCTGATGCCTAAAATCTCCCAGCACGTGATTCGGGGCAGCAGTGGCTCTTTGGCGTCCATTTCCACTGACGCGAGTCCTCGCCAGCTGGAAAGTTGGGGTCCAGGCCCTTCCCCTCGCACACATCCCAGTGGATGAGCCAGGGCTGCAGTTATTCTTCATGGGACCCATTTGGAATTTAAATTATGAGAACTTAAAATAGTGCCCAGTGTAGGCAGTCCTCTCCCACCAGCTAAAGATGCTCCAACTTTCCACTGAATCTCCACTTCTAATCAAGTGATGAGGAAAAGCAATGAACTGCAGCTGGGTGGCATTTTATATTGACTGCCATCCAAAAAAAAAAAAAGTAAAAAGCAAAGTCTCCAAAAGATGAAGAATCTCCTCCTGGCTCAAGGCTCTCATTGCGGATACAGAAGGACGGCAGCAGAGTCCCCCAAATTCTACCTAACGAGGAGCAAAGCCTCCGTCACTGGGCAGAGACGCACAGGCTCCCTCACTGCTCTTTTGGGGTCCTTGCATTTCCTGTTCCCAAACCTCAATCTTAACTTCCCGACAGCTTCTCTGACTCCAGTGTGCCCTCAAAACTCCCTAATAATTTCTAGCCCTGGTCTCATCTTCCCTGCTGAAATTCAGGGGGGGCAGTGTCAGGGGTCAAGGGCAGGGACAGAACAGTCAGGGCTGAGGTCAGCAGATGCAGGTGAGCTGAGTCCAAGGGGGCGGGCGACGGGGAGGGCCTGTCAGTAATTTAAGAAGTCTATCCCAACCTTGACACTCTTTGAGGTGGCTATATCGACGGCTGTGGCCTTGATCTCGGTGTCCCCAAACTGCATGAGAGTCTGGATCTCCCTCCGGGCAGGCACGGCGGTGCCACTGGTGCCCGTGAGATCCAGGCGGAGTGTGCCGCACTTCTTCACCCCGGGGTCGGTGATGAAGCTCACGTTGTCTCGCTCCGAGCTGTAGATGTTGATGACGATGACAAGCTGCGAGGGCTTGGCGGGGGTGTAGCTGCGCTTGACTAGCTCGCCCAGGGCCACGGACTGGTCGGCAGAGATGAACTTGTCGAAGACGTCGGTGCACCAGCGGGTGCCGTCCTTCACCAGCAGCTTCTCGGGTGGGTGCTTGCCCTCCACGTAGCGGTTCAGCACTCCCACCCCGTAGGTGAGTGGGGACCTGCGCACCTTGATGACGGCGGGGTCCAGGCCGAAAAGGACGGCGCCCTTGAGGATGGTGAGGCCCACGTCCTGGGGGATGATGATGCGGCACTTGTCCCCAAAGGCGGCCTGGACCGCCTGCTGCAGGAGGGGGGCCTCAGCGAAGCCACCCACCAGGAAGAGGAACTTGACTGTGGACACCTCAGGCTTCTGAAACAGATCCCCTGAAAGGCAAGAGGGCAGGATGACATCCTGTCACCAAAGCCAGCAGCCAAGGGGGACTGGGTGGCCTGAGAATGTGGGGAGTGGACACAACCATGTGGGCCAGCTGGAGGGCAGGCTTAGTTCGACCAGAATTCTTGTGGAGCTGGTCTTTCAGAGAAAGGCGGTTTGCACACCAACTGCTCAGGAATAAAGAGCGCAGCTGCTGCTAAGCAGCAACCCATTTTCACAGTAGACAGTGATCATGTTAAGTAGCCATGTTATACATACAGGGAACTCCTAATACTCACAAGCCTGCGGTTCTGTTAAGTAAGTCAGGCCCTTTGGTTTTCACAGAAATCCCAACCCACCCCTGGGGCTTGTGATTTGGAAGGTGGGGGGAGGAAGTGGGAGGGGGCCTGGATACCGGATACTAAAAAAGGTCCCCGGTGAATCTCCTGTGTGCCCCTGGACAGGGCCACTGACAGCAGACAGCGGCATAGCCAGACTCAGTCTCCCCTCCTGCGGGGACCTGTCTTTGGTTCACACACAGCTCCTTCTCCCCTGCAAGGGGGGGCTCCTGATTTTTCCCCATCGGGCAGAGACTGTACATTGCCTAGGGCCTGTGGTGGAGGGGAACACTGCTGCGGAGCTCACAGCTCTCCGACTGCTGGGCCACAGGGGAACCCCAGTGAGGGCAGGCTCTCCGCTGCTTTCAGTCCCTAGAAAGCAGGGATCTGGAGCCTGTGCCCAGCATCTGCCCATGGACGTGCTCCCGGCCCCGGCCATCCGCCAACCTGACTTCACATGCATGGTCGGAGATGCTGGAAAAGTCAGTCCCCATTCTCGGCTCTGCCCCTGAGTGGCCGAGCCCTGGCCGAGACTTACGGAGGTGCTCGATGATGCTGTCGATGGTTGGCTTGAAAAGGGCGTTCATGGCATCTGGACTCATCCTCAGCATGCCCTGCGAGGACCACTTCACAAAATCCACACTGTGGGCCACGGCACAGAGAGAAACAGGTGGTGAGGGTACAAACTGTGCCCAGAGACGCAGACAGGCAGACGCATGGGCCCTGGCAGGAGAGCTGCCGTATCCGAGGGCAGAAACGCTCTAAACTGCCAGGACCTCAGCCCTTAGAATAAGCTCCAACGCTAAGATGCAGCCTTTTCTGTTCCTCTTTGCCTTCCACTGTGGCCGACCTTCCCCTGGGACAGTGGAGGCCAGCGTCTAGTGCAGAGCACAAAGAGATGAAGGGACCTCTTTCAATGACCATGTCTTGATTTCATGAGAGTTGATGTGAGTCCATCAAAGTCTCCAGTGATGTGTGCACCTGCTCCTACCCAAGGCGACCGTGTGCTCGGGTGCGCCCTGCAGGCACCTGCCCATGAGTGAGAAGCCTGACCCTACGGGCGTCCTTGACCGTCTCTGTCAAAGGAGCAGCACATCCAAAGCAGCAGCGTGGGGCTGAAAGAGCACTGGACAGGGAGCCAAGGCAGCTGGGCTCCAGTCTGCCCCCACCACTTAGCTGCTGCAGGGCAAGGATTTGCTCTGAGCCTTGGCTTTTCATCTGCAAACCAAGGATAATGCCACCTGCCTTGCCTCCCCCTCACAGGTGGTTGTGGAGATCAAGGTGAATGCTCCATCTGTGAAAACATTTTGGAATCTCTAGTACTAAAGGAAAGCTGGGGCTGTTGGGTGCAGGGTATACCCCACCTATGCTCAAGTTTAAAGGGACCAAACAAATGGCATCTCTGTCCCTGAGGCAAAGCACATGCCAGCTGCCTCTCCACATCACATTTTAGATGCTGCCATGCGTCACAGACTAGGAATCCTTTCCGAGGTCGAGGCCAAAGGACAATGTGGTAGGGTGTGGTGTGATCCAGTGGCTGGCTGCGGCCAGTCTTCCCAGGGAGGGCAGGCCCCAGCACCAGGCAGGCGGGACCTTGGAGTCAGCCAGCAGCAGGTGCCTTCTGCAGGGGACCTGGGGCAGAGGGAACGTTAGCCTACTAAGGTCAGGCTAGGACCCTGCTCCGAGGGCACGAAGACCTGGAGTCGAATCTGCTTTGTTCCCCACGAATAGGAACCAGGGCTTCTCAGAGAAACAACCAATGACAGGACAGGTGGGGCGTGTACAAGCTGAGTCAGGGCATCTTCACTGACCACAAGGCGCAGATGGTCGGAGACCACAAAGGTCTTACCAATGACGCGGGAGCCAACCCGAAGAGGCTCCCATGGGCCAAGATGGGAAAACTCGAGCATCGCTAAGGGTATAACTGCACAGTTTACAATACATCAGATATGCTTAAATCCATGGATTCTTAGTGATGCTCTCCTTACGCCTCCGCCAACAATAATAAAAAAAAAGAATCCCTTTGTTGCTTTGGAGGATGCTATGAAATCAACAATTTTTTAAACAAAAATCTTATAGATGGACTGGTTTGATTCCCAGTCAGGGCACACACCTGGGTTGCAGGCCACATCCCCAGTATGGGGTGTGCTACAGGCAACCACACATTGATGTTTCACTCCCTCTCTTTCTTCCTCTCTTCCCCACCTCTCTAAAATAAATAAATAAAATCTTTAAAAAAACAACAAAAACAAACATCTTACAGGGAAAGAAAGCACCCAGCGCCGGCCTTTCCCACTCAACTACACTCCGGGGCAACCACACCAGGGCGGCAAAGCGCGTCTCCACCCCGCTCCCCGGGCACCCTGAGCCGAGGGCAAGCCCCACTCACTTGCTCTTCCTCAAGGCGTGCTCCACGCTGTGCCCGCGGAACTTCTTGTAGTAATCGATGAAGGAGAAGGGCAGGGTGATGTTCAGCGGGTTGGTTCGGTCTGGGGCGGCCGCCCTTTTGCGAGACTCAAACGCAATCATCAAGTCGACCCAGGCCGCAGGACGCTTGATTTTGAACTGCTCGATAAAATCCTCTCCAAATATTTTACACAGGAGCTTTTCGAATTCATAGTCCACTCCTAAGGATCCATAGGGTCCACCTGCGGCAGGAACAAAACGGAGCCCAGCACGTCACGGTCGGCGAGAAACCGAACCCACGCGCTGGGAGCCAGCCTGCGGGCCCGGCTCTCCCCTGGAACCTGGAGGAGCACAGACTCGGGCCCCCTGAGCAGGAACCTGCGGCAGTGATTTTACTCAGGGTCTTCTCCTGCCTGTGGAGGAATCTGTTTAAAATCAACTACTCTTTAAATAAAAGCGGCTGAAGGAACCAGGAGAACTTGGTTTTCACAAGCAGGCCTCACTCAGTCCTGGTGTCTGCTCATAACTCGTCGCCCCGCCTGGACCCAGGGACAGAGCCTGTCCTTTGCTTTGGCAGTCCGAACGAAGTCCGGGTGTCCTGGGACCTTCCTAGAAAGCGGAGCCACGACACTACACCCTAGGTGACATCCGCGTTTGGTCACACCCTCCCACAACTTTCCGAGAGAAACGTTCTCACCCAGGAGCTGAAACAGGCCCACTTGATGCCAAGAGCTAAGTTATGGCGGTGTGCGTTTTAGAGAAGATTTAACTGCACTCGGCTTCCTGATCGTAAACAAGCCGCGGGATAGCAGCCTCTCCTACCTGCTATCCTGTGTGCCAGGGGGAGCAGAGACAATGGGACACTGAGAGGAATCCGAAAGGAGTGAACTGGCCTGGGTAGAAGGCAATCAGCGCGCAGCTCACCTGTTGCTTTATACAATTCTTTCAGGTGCCCCTCTGGTAACCGTATCTGATGCACCGTCAAGTCTACGGTGCCACCGCCACTGTCCACAACCACATATTTGTCACCTGGTTAAAAAAAAAACAAAACAGCCATCCTTTACTCAGACGGCTTGTCAAGCCATCCTGAAGCAAGCTGGTGGGTGATGGCCCGTACACCCCACACTCCTCATGAGTACAGTGGGTTCGCCAAAGAGCTGCACAGAGTGTCGCCCGTGATGAAGAGAAGGCGGTGCTGTAGCCAGGGCACCGCTAGTGCAGACGACAGAGAGCCCAGGGGTGCGAATCTCTCAAACTGAGCATTCACGTCGCACGCTGCTGCACACCCGGGGTCCAAGTGGGCAGCTTCCTGCCGACTGAACAGCCCAGTCAATGACCTGCTGTTTAACAGAAGACTCTGTCCTGGAACTGGTGAGTTCCAGTGCCTACCTCTCTTCGGAAGCATCTATATGGTTTTAAAACATGCAAAATTACAGCTCCAGAAAGAGCTCTCCCCGGGTGAGTGGTGTTTAAAACCAACTGATTTTGGACATTTTCTGAAAGTGCAAAACGAACAAGTAGGAAAGCGTTTTCGCCAGCAGCGCACACACACACACAAATCCAGCACAGGCAAAGGACATTCAAGGACACTACCTTCCTCCAGCTCGGACCAGATCTCTCCTATGACATTCTCCACCAAAAAGGTCCGACTCTGCCGGTTACGCCGTACGTGTTCCTTAGCTAGTGGCCGACAGAAAGAAAACGATGCCGGGTAAGAGCATGAAAAAGCGGGCAGTCAGTCATCGGCAGTCAGGAGAGGCAACATGAGGAGGCTTAGGGACAGAACATTTAGTGCAACGGATGAGAACAGTTACAGAACGACAGCACCAGGAATTAACAAAACCAGTTCTTCCAGGCCAGTGGCTGCTGCCACGGGTCTTCATACTTTCGTCTGTACATCAGCTTTAGGTTGGGCCCTGCTGCAAAGCCCCCCTGGATGAGAGCCCCATCCTCCAGCGACATGTGGGGAGCAATGGGTTAACAAAATGGCCAATTTCCTCGCTTTGCTGTCCCAGGGACGAAGCTGCCTGCCAAGCAGGCACCTTCAGTGCACTTGGTTAAATAATGTCACATCAAGCAACTCTGATGCAAGGGAAGTGGGGCATGTATCCCTCACTTGGATCCGGAATGAACTGGACGGGAGCCACTGCCTGGAGCCGCCATGCTCGCTGGCCACAAGGTGGCGCGTTGGAAACTAGCAAAGCCCAGCACCACCTTCTCCCTGAGCACTGAGGGACACTGGCTGTGGCTGCTGGTACTTAGTGGCGGGGACGCCACCAGGCATGGGGGATTCATTTCCCACTGGCCTCCTGACAGCCCCGGGAGGCAGACAGGGCATGACTCGTGAGTCGTGTTAAGATGAGAAAGCAGGCCAGGCAGGTGAGGGACTTACTTCCCACACTGTCTTGTAGCCTGAAATTAACCCTGCGACCAAGGACCCGCCTGCCTCTGCGAGGTCACAGTTTACAGTGAAGTCTGAAAAAGCAGAGTGCACGTGCAGAAGTGGGAAAGGCGTAGGGACAGGGTACCTGGGAGGCAGCAGGGCACAGCCGAGGCGGGAATCTGGGCAACTCAGCTGCCCTTGGCCTCAGTTTCATCATCCATAAAATAGCGATAATCAGATTTGGTCTAATTTCCTCACAGGCAGAGTGGGGGCGGGCTCTCTGACTCATCCTAAGCAGCCAGTGTGACCCCTGGCTTGCAGCAGGGGACAATGAAGGTACAGCGCCAAGTCTGGGACCTGGTGCCCGACACATGCTCGCCACCACACACAACTTGGAGCAGCCAGCTAACTTCACTGATAGGGACTCTGTGCCCAACTCTGCTGCCCCTCCCCCACCTTTGTCCACACCCCTTTCATTTGTCCCTGCATTGGGGGCTGCAGACTTCGAACTGCCCTGCAAATCCGCCTGCTGCTGTTCATGCGGTAGAGGATCCTGGACCCTCCAGCCTCTCATCAAGGAGCAGTGTCTGCAAAACAACGTCTTCTCTGAGGACTATGACGGCACACACTGGGCCAGCTTCCTCGGGCCTGCGTTCATGGTGGAGAGGCCGTCCCCTGATTCAGGGCTTCTCTGCTGTTCCCAGCAGCGGCTCCAGACGAATTTCTATTGTAACGGGCACCTGGTTCCCTAAAACAATGTAAATGGCTGACAGAAGGGCCTTCATAAAAAACAGCCAAGCGAAGCTAACAAAACATGTTCTGAGCGCTCAAAAAATGACTCCATTTTTCAGGCAAATTAAGCCCATTTTATGAAAAATGTATCCCTTTACTGATGTCATTAACTCCTCCTGGAGTAAAATAAACCACCAACAGCCACCCCTGAGGCACTGGGGGCGGTGCACTGGCTGGTCCTCCACCGTGGTGTCCCCTGGGAGTCCACCACGAGCGGCCTCCAGGCAGGGGACAGCTGGGGTCTCAGGGTGCCAAGGCACCCCAAGTGCTCCTGGTCAAGTGCCCCGCCAGGCCTCCCCAGACAGCACCCGGTCCTTCTGGGAGAGAAGCCTTAACTGCAGCCCAAGGCTGGGACGGAACCCTGCCTCTCTGCCAACAATCTGAAGATTTAAAACTAGAGATGCTCTGAGCACAGGAGACAACAGCAAAGTCCACAAGGCACAGGACACAGGCACGGAGCGGTGTGGGGCGGGCAGAGCATGTGAAAGGGAAGGCCACCGACAACTGAGCTCTCGGGGAAGGCAGCACACAAAAGCCGTTCTCCCCTCAACTGGGCTGTAACTGGGAAGTAAGAAGAGCTAACTCCAATCGGCTAATTCTTAGGCATTTCTTTTTCGGAACAACTAAGTAAGAACCAGCAAGTAAGACAAAAAGCCGCCATTCCTCTTTTTTTTTTTTTTTTCAGTTAAAACAATGAAGGTGAACATTTAAATAACTATATCTTCCTGAGGATTTAGAACAACGCAGTTGACTTAGCAGTTAGGTTAACCTCGGCATGTGCTAAAGCCCAGCACTGCTAGGAAAAGGCAAGTCAAGCCGTGAGATTTAAAGGGAAGCCTGTTTTTCCCTGGCTGCTGTGGCTCAGTGGGTTGAGAGCCAGCCTGTGAACCAAAGGGTCACTGGTTCAATTCCTAGTCAGGGCACATGCCTGGGTTGCAGGCCAGGTCCCCAGTAGGGGGCGCACGAGAGGCAACCACACATCGGTGTTTCTCTCCCTCTCTTTATCCTCCCCTTCCCCGTCTCTAAAAGTAAATTAATAAAATATTTCAAGGGAAGCCTGTTTCCACACGTCCCAGGTGCATCGGATCTGAGGTGCGAACCCGCAGCCCTGGCAGGCTGAGGCGGCAGGGCGGTGACAGAGAACTCTGTGCCGCTGTCTCGGGGCTGCAGCCCACAGACTCTCCAGTCGTGGGTGGCGATACAGAGCGGTGGCCTTGGGGGCAGTGCTGCCCTGTGAAGAGGAACAGGAGAGGCGGGAGGAGATGGCCCGGTACCTTCCGGGCAGGAATGTGCACCCTGCACGCTGTGCGCCTGGGTCCCAGGCCATAGGGGGGACAGTTTGTGACAGTCCAGGCACATGTCACCCCTCCCCTCCTGGGCTTGGCCTACTTGAGTGGGTCACAGGTAAATTTTTGCCCCCAAGGCCCTCACCTGGGGACAGAGCTCAGAGCTGTGCACCACCCCACAGAATTCTGACTAGCTTCCCAAGTCACTCACAGTGGTGGCTTTGACCCTGACCTCAGGTGTCTGCAAACTCTGTAGCCCTGAACAGACCCACAGAGCCCTGGGTACCAGGGAGAACAGTTCTGGGGACCAAGACTGTGACCCCCTTAGATACAGGTAAGTATGAAAAAGTTCCTTAAGAGCCCCCTTAAACTCCTGAGTCTCCTTAGGCAGGTGACCTTTTCCATGGCTGAATGAATCATCAGCCAGGTCAGGAAAAATCAGCCCTTTGCATCCAAAGATTTCACTCTCACCAGGTTTATAGCGAAGACATATAATGAGCTCATCACACACAAAGTGGCCTCAGTGAGTGAGTCAGCAATAAATCAACAGTCTTAATGGAGGAATTAATAACAGGCAAATGGCATTCGATTAAGAATCAGTTAACAGATGAGAAAGATTAAGAAGTAAAACGCAAGGCCAAGGACTGCTCTCAGGCCCCCCTCAAGTTTCTGGAAAGAAGTGCCCTCCCCCCTTAAGGCACATGGGTGAGTGATGAACCAGGGTGCCCACTGCCAAGTTCATGGGGGCCCCTTGGAGGGGCCAGGTGAAGAGGGGCTAAGCAACAGAGATGCTTAATGCCAGCCTCTCTGGGAGCATCTTGATTCTTGGTCACAGCACTAAGTGCATTTAAATAACAGAGGCCAGGGCACATGCAAGGGCGGGAGGGGAGAGAGCAGGGAGGGGGAGAGAGAGAGCAGAGGTACCCTGTGCAAACCCAGCTCCTACTGTGTCTCTGGAGCTGTACCCATTGACCGCGGCCTTGCTGCTCAGCTCAATCATCTGGTGCAGACGCAGCTTCCGGCAGTAGATGGAGGCTGCCTCGGGCTCCAAGGCGATGATGAGCTGCTCTGAGTTCTCGGGGGAGGCCAGGCCTGCCTGGAAGACAGAAGCCGAGGCTGGGACCCGGGCTCCCTGGGTGGGACTGCCCAAGGACGCCCACGCCCAAGGAAGGGACGCTCATGCCGTACTGGTTTGGGAGATTCCCTCCACGGGCCTCTGCAGAGCTTAGAATTGGCAGTGACCAGGTGCTGGGCTCTAAGCCAGGTACCCAAACACTGGCTAAAGAAAACATAAGCACCCTTGGGAAATGCTAGCCTCTGAGCCACGGGGCCTCTTGCATCTGGGGCTTACTTAGAACTGAGAAGCATGAGGGGGAAAGGCCCCCAAATTTTGAAAACTGTTCTAGGGGGAAGGCATATGGTCTGTTTTTGCTTATGATAAGCCAAAGAGTCCAACCGAGACAGAACAAGCCCCAGTCTTCACTGGCCTAGGACACAGCGGCCCATCACCAGTCATCAGCTGGCGTCCGACTTTGCTGTGTGGGAATCTGATTGGGGGACTCCAGCTCTCCAGGAACAAGCCACCCTGGAATCCAACGGCACACCCTTTCCTGGAGTGTGGGTGCAAAGACAGCTGGCAATCATCTTATCCCTTGAATAGTGGCATTGCTTCTGCTGTGACATCTGGCTCGTTCCAGTCACATTCCTCCAGACCTTCAGAGGGCCAGGCCAGGAGGCTCTGGGATTGCCCTGCCGAGGGTGCTCAGGAAAACAAGCTTGGCATGGCCCCTACCAAGTCCCTGCCCACCTCTCATGCCCTTGAACTTGAGCACCAGGTCCCACTTGCTTGTTGAAGCTGTTCAAGCACATGGGGTTTCCTCGGCTGCCAGCACAATGGAAAACGGAGGCACGCTGCATCCCTGTCATCGCGGTGTTTGTTGTCTTTGGTCCCGTTTCCTAGGGAACCTCGGAAGGCTGTCCTGGTGCCACACCCACTTGGTAGAAAGCCCCCAGCTCTGCACCCAGCTCCTGAGGTTCAGTGGCCTCACCCTGTAGGCCGGGGGTGGAAGGTCTTCCTGATGTTGCACATGCACAGTGGCCTCTCCCCGGGAGGAGCCGGCCTGCAGTCACCGGGGAAGAAGGAGCTAAGGACGTGCAATTGTTGGGGGGGGCAGGTTATAATGTAAGAAATGCAAAGGACCATCAGGACCTTCATCCAACTCCTTCACTGTCCGCAGAAACCAAGGCTCAGAGAGGAGGGTGACCAACCGTCCCGGGTGTCCTGGGACATGGGCCTTGGAGTCCCTGAAGCTCAAAGGTACCCAACCCGTAGTGGCAGAGTGGGCGCAGGCCCAGATCTCGTGCCTTGCAGGCCGGCTCTTTGCCTGCTTCCCAGCTGTCCTGGTCTCAGAGTCCAGTCACCGGGGTGGGGCCCAGGCCTGCGGGAGGACTTGGACAAAGCTCCCCCCTCCACAGGCTTCGAGGTGCGATCTCTTCCCCCTTACTCTGGGACAGCACCTGGTGACACACTGCCTGTACTTGCCCACACGGTCTCCAAAAGGAACCCATAAACCACGTCTCCCCGAGAAACCACACACAGGCAGGGGAGTAAACACCTCCGCTCTGCCAACACCAAATGCCCGAAGCAGGTGGTACAACTTCGGGAAGAATGACTTTACAAAACCAGATGGAACTGCACACACGTCCCGCCCCATGCACGGGAAACCTGCCTCGTCAGTGCCTTGTACCCTGGGCTGTGGCCCATCAGCTCGGTCCCCGGGTTGAAGAAACGGGGTCTGACCTTTGCTGACACGGGTCAATGGACCACGGACACAGATGTGTGACAAGACTTCCCACTGCTCCCTATTCAAGGATTAAAAGTCCCCTGTCCCAGCCTCACTTTCTCACAGGGTCACATCAGACACCCTTGGCACAAAAATAGCTGAGGTCACAGTACCCAATGAAAGAGGACATGGGTTACCCACCGGAAGTACCGCCAGAAATGGTGAGACCTCTGGACCTCCATCTGCAGGATTCCAGAAAAGGAAACCCAAAACAAAACTAAGAGGAGCCCCTCCTAAAGGGACAGCCCTCACGGGTTCACTCTTCCACCTCTGTGGACTTGCAAAGTCAAGGAGCTCCTAGAACGACAGCCACCAGGTCTGGCTTCCGCAACACAGGGTGAGGAAGGAAAGACCAGCCGCGCCTACACGCATCACACTCTCCTCCAAGTTCGGGATGGAAAGTAAACTTGGGGGCAGGTGGGACCAGCAGAAAGCCAGCGTGGCGCCCAGGGACTCAGAGTGAAGGAGGACAGGCAAAGGCCCTGTCCACTCAAAAGGCACAGCACTGCTGTCACGTCCCACTGGGACAGCCACCTGCCAGGCAGCCCCCGTGTGGCCAGGAAGAGCCCCAGGGCCTGGGCCTGGCAGCGGGGCAAGGACGGGAGGGCAGAAAATAACGGTCGCTCTTTTCCACACCTCGCCTAAAATTCTGAGCAGGAACCTGGATTTAGATGGGAAATATCTACACAGAAAAATCACATCAAGGAGACCAGAGCTGGAGTGAAGAGCCTTGAGTAAAATCACTCAGCTCCACGAGTCTGAGTGTACCTGGTGTGTGGCCGAGACACCCCCTCGGAGGGTGCTCCGGCATCCTGACGATGTAAAAGCCCCCCAGGACCTGGTGCGGCGGCACCTGGTGGGAGGCCCTCCATCTGTCTCCCCGGCTGGGCTGGCCCCAGCTCCATAGCAAAAGCTTCTGCCCATTCCCACAGGGGGTTCCCCACGACCCCGGGAGAAGAGGCAGATGGGGAATGGAGGTGAAGAGGACCCCAAAGCAGAGAGTGGGAGAAGCCAGGTCAGAGTGGGTCTGAGAGACCCGGGACACAGGAAGCCCCTTGTTTGTTTGAGCCAGCCTGTCACCCTCCCTGCTGAGAGTTGAGGGGCTGTGCCCCCGCCAGCAGCCCCCAGGGTGGCCGCAGTGAAAAGCTGAGGGGCAGGCAAGAGGAAGGATGCAGCTGGCTCTGGGCAGGTTCTGCCTCCCCAGGGAAGAGTCCCGGGCTGCTTGTGGACTCCAAGAAGAGGCGGAAATACAAGAGAATCCGCCAGACTCAAAAACTCAGCTGCCTTGATCTCTGGGTAGAAGGCTCTAGTGCCTGAAGTGTGGGCTGTTTCTGCATCAACACTTGTAGGCTTCTCAGCAGAAGCCCTCTGGCCAGCCCAACAGCTGTCAGGAGACCTGGGGGCCATGTGCCTGGGGTCAGGCCAGGGGCACCCGAAGCAGAAGAGCACTCTCTTTGCTTTTGCCAGTTCTGCCTCTAGAGCTGGAGTCTCATGGCCACCATGCTGGTATGAGCTCTCTCTCTGCTGGGGCCTATGCGGACCCGTCTGGCCTCTCCTGCAAGACGCCACATTGTCCAGGGACAGCAAACAAGTCTCCTTGCCCCACTGCACTCAGTGGGGACTCAGGGAGGAGCTGTTAAATGAATGAACTGAGCATCCCTCCAGCCAGGATCCAGTTCTGCAATTTCCTGGCACTCCCCTCTGCGAACGTGAACCAGAGCGAGCATTCCGCATTCCGCAGACATGACCTGGGGACTCTGCAAACACAAAGTGTCTGAACCAAGAGCATGCTACCCCATATGACTCCTCTGTGCATCTGGGACAGCAGGGAGAAGCAGCAGGTGGGTGACTTCAGGGAGGCCAAGGCTGTGGGCGTCTACAATGACTACACCACTCCTCCGCCTGCAGTCAGCTAGAAAAATCCAGCAGGGCTGTGTTTACAGCTCAGAAGCGACCAGATGGCTGAGTGCTCTCCTGGCCCGGCGTCCCGCTGCAAAGGGCTACAGCTGCCTCGGCTCTGGGTGTCACAGGGTTGTTTTTTGTGGGGTTTTTTTCCTGGTATGATTATTTTTCACTGCCATTTGTTCAGAAAGGGAGGCAAATGCAAGCTGCAAACCTGTGCTAGATGAAATCGCCCTATGTAGGGAAACGTCATTTATTTAATGGGTTTCTGGAACCTAACAGGAGTTACATATTTTAGGCAAATGCCTCTAGAGAGAACCTGGACTGTTTCCTCCAGGAAGCCCTCCAGACTTGGCAGAATCACCTCCCACTCTAGGTCTCTTCTGAAGACCTTAGAAGGGGGATCCGCTGTTGTTTGTGCTTTTCGCTGATGCTCCGCAGGGGTCTAAAGGCGCCCTGAGGCTGTGGATCATACAAGAAGGAGATGTAACCTACTTTTTCAACAGCACTTGACACAAGCGGAGATCTGGGAGTTTCACAGACGAAACTGTTCACAGATGAAGCAGTGAGTCCCAGAGCCGTGAGCCCCGCCCCACAGCTGCCCACTCCAGGCCTGCCTCTCCCGTGGGAGACGCCGCCCAGGGCCTCATCTCCTGCTCCGGGGCCAGGCCTCTTCCTCCTCCACCAGGTCAGTGGAAGGGGGAGCTGAGTTGCAGCACAGAACTGTGCCGTGAACTTGGGCCCTGGGAACCTCCGACAGGCCCGGAAGCAGAGGCTCCGTTTTGACAGGCAAGCAGGTTGGACACAACCAGTGTCCCTGACCATCCTACTCTCTCCTTCCCGCTCTTCCACCCGAAGCCAGGCCGATGGGTGGCGCTTTGACTGGAAGGGTTGATGGGCACTCTTGGGTCTCAGGAGCTGGATGAGCCAAAGCTGCTTTTTGCTCAGGTTCTATGTTAGGTTTCCCAGGAGAAACTGAACCAGCAGGGTGCATGTATGTATAGAAACAGATTTATGGTGAGGAACTGGCTCACACGAGTATGAAGACGGACAAGCCCGGAGATGTGAAGTCGGCAAGCTGGAGGACCAGGGCAGCCAATGATGGGGTAGTTCCCTTGCCGGCAGGTTTAAGATTCAGGAAGACCAGATGTTTCAGTTCAAGTCCAAAGGCAAAACAAACAAACACAAAACAACCAATGCCCCAGTTTGGAGGCAGGCAGGCAGGAGGAATTCCATCTTATTCTAGGGAAGTTCAGCCTTCTGTAATCATGCCTTCAACGGATTAGTCAAGGCCCACCCACACTAGGGAGAGCAATCTGCTTTATCTAGGCAATTGATTTAAATGTTCATCTCACCCCAAAACACCCTCACAGCAACACTGAGAACATGATGTTTGAACAAATACCTGCTTACCCCTCAGCTCAGTCAAGTTTACACATAAAACTAACCATCACAGGTACACATCTTCCTTACTGTATATAACAAATGGGGTGAAGAGGGAGATGCTAATTTTGGTCACAAAATAGCAAGCTTCATTTCCATTCTTCCATGGGGACTCTGTGGTCAAGAGACCAAAGAAAAGCCAGCAAAGCAACTGTGCCCCTCACGTGCCCTCTGCCCCCTCCCGGAAGTAAGAAAGACTTCAGTGAACCACCCTGCTGCAAGCAGCTGGAGAAGGGGATATGAACCCAGTGGCTACACGGACCCCGGCACACGGAACACCGCGAGCACAGGTCTGTTGAATGAATAAATGAATGAGTGAGCAAACAGCGACTGAATGGTCCCTGCCATCCCGAAATCCATTCAGTGATTGTAAATGAAACACAAGTATCAAATCAGAGTCACAAAAGGTCAAAAACTAAGCTGCACAGTCGAAGCACCAAACAGAAGATACCAAACAGGACTGAGAGGACAGGCCTGTTTGCAGAGTGTCTCTGGGCTTTGGAAAGCGAAGTCCCTGCCTCCATAAACGGTGACACACTGGCCCTGCTTAGGACCCACTGACCCTTCTCTCCGAGGTGCTATGGTGGTTCCAGTTTTGATTCGGCCAAACCCCAGAGAAGGCCACACCCGGTCTCTGCCCCACTCAGCGGCCCCTGTGCTGAGGGGCCGCCCCCACCCCCACTGTTTCAGAGCTGCCATCCTCGGAAGAGCCGGCCCAGACTGCGAACAGCCCTGACAAACCCACTGATCACTGCACCTCTTTCTTTTTCAAGCTAAAAATAAGAACTGACCCTTTTCCGGGTCACACATTTGTTGCTGAGGTCTTCCTGTGGGCTGCAAAACGAGGGTCAAAACCATGAATCTTGAGTCTCCTTCCTGGGAAAAGCTCAGACACTGGGGCGTGTCTCCCCGACCGAGTCTCCCCAGACCACGCCCCAGGGTCCCAACTGTGGGCACGGCCTGTGGGTCCGAGACCACGGGAAAGGTCCAGGACACCGGGGCTTCTGTGGGCAGCTGAAGCGTCTGCACTTTCTTTCTTTTTAAAGAAGTTGCCTCTTTTTGGAACTCCCACCCTCTTCCTTCATCCCTATGAAAACAAGTCTATTTTTGGCAGCTTCATAGACTGAGCCAGATTCTCACGCTGAACAGAGGAAGAGGAGAGCAGAGGAGGTGTCCTGGGGCAGGGGAGGGAAGAAGGAGACCGGGAAAGGAGGGGACCTGCCCCTTCCTTGAACTCCACCTGCCACCTGGAGTGAAGCCCCGAGTGCTGACCACAATTCACAACACCGAGGTGCCCCCTGTACTACATTCCCACACTCAGGGTGGGTTTGGTGGGTGTTTTAAAAGGAAAGGTTCCTCTACGTGGCCACAAACTCAGCGTCCAAGGTGTGACCCCCGGGAAAGCTGGCTGTCTCCTGAGAGGTGTGGTGGAGGGCACAGGACATCTATCACCTTGCTGACTTTTCCCAGCCTGGCTCAGGTCGGTGGCTCTGCACATGGATTTTCAGGACACGGAGTTGACCCAGGCCCCCAGGTGGGCTTCCATTAAACGAAGGGACCAAGTAAGCGAGTACACAGGAGCCAGCGCCATCCCAGAATCCAAACGGCAGGTCAGTGCCACCCGCCCTTCTTGCCAGGGAGTCAGGCCCTCATGGAAACTCCACTGTGGCACAAGCTGTCTGCAAACAGTGTGCGGGGTGGCGGCTGTGAGGGTCCGCGGTGCCGAGGTGCCCACGAGGGACTAACCGGCCATCAGCCCCGACAGCTCCGCCTTCATGGCGCTGTGCTGACTGCATCCTCCTTACTGTGCCACCAGACAGGTGTGACAGCCCTGGTGCTCCTGGGGTGCACGGGTGAGACAGGCGGAGGAAAACCGGATTTCCTTTATTTCCCGGCCGCATTTGTACAGCTTTCAGCCTCAGCGCCAAGATGATTTGCCTGGTCCGTACCCAGGGCCTTGTCTCAATTCCTTCCTTATTCAAATGTTCTTGTTTTCCAAGCCTTTTACTTGAAATTCTCAATCGCAGACTCCCATGAAGAGATGTCTCTGAACCGCAGTTTGAAACCCTAGCCCCAGGGACTCTGCAGTGGCCATGGGACCTGGAAGTGCATAGAGCCGGAGAGAAAACAGAGCCCAGCCCCTCCCCCAGGAAGAAGCCTGCGCAGGCTGGGGGACAGCAGGCTGGGGGACCCCTGAGGCATCCCGGGGCCCCGTCTGCTCCATCCCCACACTCACCTGGTAGGCAGCTTGTCTCATGAACTGCTTGGCGGGCTGCTTCCAGATGGCAGGCACCGTGATGACCCATCTGACATCGGAGTTCTCGAACTCCGAACCCGCCTGGTCGCTCAGCTCCTAAAGCCAAGCAAAGTGCCACAGGTCAAGTGGACATAGCTGTTCCTCTGGCGGCTTCGCTGAGAACCCAGGCTTCCTGGCTATGAACTGAACTTCCACGGCCTCCAGAGTTTACCAGCATCAGGGAGCAAGGGTCCGTTTTCTGCCTTCCCAGCTCCTTCACTCATTGAATGTGACCACAGGCAACAGGCAGGCAGATCACAGGCCTCTGGCCACTCCCTAGCCATGTGACTGAGGGAAAAGTGACAACCTTGCGGCCTCAGGTTCCTTATCTGTACAACACAGGTCATAATGCCTCACTCCTACAGTTGTTAGAGGGATCAATACTTTTCTGAGAGCTCTACTTAGGGGGAGTGTCAGCCTTAAGTACTTTGCGTACTTTGTCTCCATTAATCCAGCCGCGAATCCTATTAGGGAGGGATTATAACTCTGCCCCTTTCCTACAGATGGCAAAGGAAGGCCTTGCTACATTGTCTTAGAGAGAAAGTGCAGAGCGGAAATCTGGGCTCAGGCGCCAGCTCGAAAGGCCAGCATCTTAACTGCGACACTTGCTCTCCTGTACAGAACTGTGTCTGGCCCACAATAATGCCTAACAGCAGTGGCAGTTGTCACAGTTGTCATGGTCACCTACCTCCCCTCAAGCCCAGCACATCAGGGGAGTTTTCCCGGCAGGAAGGGAAGGACAGGAGAGACATGACCGAAACATGCTGTTCTTAACTGCGGGTTAAGGTTAAAGCATGTGGATAAACAGGACGAGCAGAAGCCTCAGGGTTTCCACCAGGTCCCCGTACACAAGGCATGTCTCTGGCCCAATTCTGACTCGGTATTTCCATCTGTAACATGGGGAGAGCGAAACTAACCCACGGCATGAGTGGCAAAATTCAACAAGAACACACATGGAGTGTCTGCCCCTGAGGAGACCTCTGGCTCCTTCCCGGCCCCTCCCCTCCCCTCCTGCTGCCACAGTCACCGGACAAACCTGAAACCAAACTGAACAGGCACTAACGCACTTCTGCACGCGGTTCGGAGGAAAGGGCTGCTGGGGTTTTTTTCCTGACGGGTGTCGCACTTTCCCCATTGTTTCAAACAGTTATCTTTGGACTGACCCACCCTTTCTTTGAACTCACTTCCTCTTCCATCAGTAAACCTTATTTTTTCCTGCCTTCAATTTTTTTTCATTTTTAATTATGACAAAATACACACAAAATGTACTATTTTTAAGAGCACAGTTTGGTAGTAGTACGTATACTCCACAAACTTTTTAAAAAACGTGCATCAAAAACATCTCTGCTCTGGGCCAATGTGAAGCAGCCGGTTTTTTTGTTTTTGTTTCTGTTTTATCTTGTTTTTTATCATGTGCTCTTTCCTTGCAGGTCTGGCCTGGCCTCCAAAAGCAGGCCAGCACGAGGCGTGTGCTGGGAAGGAGTGTAGGCCGCCCGTTACCGGGCAGACCGTCTCTGACAACAAACAGGAAGAGGCTCGAACCCTGAGTGACGGCTGCCCTTGCCTTACGGAAAGCTGTTTGGATAAGCTGTCAGGCGGAGAACAGCTCGGAGAGAAAGGAACCTGATGTTAACTGAAGGTCTCATTGGCGGGCCCTTCCGCTTGCTTTCCTTTGTGAACGAGGCTACGCTGTGCGTGGGATTTCTGAGATCTGCTTTCGCTTACGCCAGTCCAACACGCAACAGTCCCCCCGAACCCACTTGTGGGCCCTCTCGTGGAGGGCCCAGCTCCTGTACATCTCCCCAGACAGCTTTTCTCGCTGCTTCTTCTCACGTTCCCTGCAGCGAGAAGGCGCTAGCCAGTCCCTGAGCTAGCGGCTGAGCTGCCAAGTCCGCAACCACCCACCACTGGGCCCTGCTTGACCTTCTGCCTCCTCCCTTCTGAGATGAGCTGTTCGTTCCTTTCTTCTTGGCCAACTTGGCCCAGGGTCAGGGATTTTCTCAAGCCCTAAATTTCCCCTGTGGCTCCTCCTCTAAATCCAGGGTCCCTGAGCTTTTTGCCTCCCTCTGCTCCTTCAACCTTCTCAGTCTTGCCACCTGTGGTCAGGCAGACAGGCCCCCACGTGGCCACCTGGGCCACCTGGTGCTGAGCCCTCTCTCTGGGATCTGTGCCCTTCAGGATGACACTGGTCTCCCTCTCAGTGCACCTCCTGGTCTGCTCCGCTGCCCCTGGGCATGAGGGCGCTCTCCCTTCTCCGGGTCCCAACGCCTCACCTCGCCCCTGCCTTCCCATCTCTCTCCCGAGTCCTTCCTTTCTCTCTCCTCTCTCCCTTTCTTGTAGCATTTTCTTCCAAGACCCACTTTGTCCCTTCCCCTGACCCACTCTTTCTCCTTTATTTTCAGTCTCCAAATGACCCCACAGTTCCCCAAGTCTCACTCAGGGCCTTACCCTCAGGCCTCAAACAAACCTGCAGCAGGGTCTGCACTGGCTGCCCCCACAGGGCTGTCCCCCACCCTCGGGACCACTGTGGTCTCCATCCCTCTAGTACCCACCCTGTGGCCAAGGCATTTATGCCTCTGCTAGAAATCCTTTGATGGCTCCCTACTACCCAGAAGTTCCTTGGCTTGGCATTCGAGGCTCTGCACAGTCTCGTCCCGACCTCACTCACAGCCCCGCTGTATCCCCAGCCTTGCCCTTCGCCAACCCCAAACTACCTGCTTCCCATGGCCGTTTGCTACGTTTTCTTTCCCTTGAACTGTTTTTGTGCTCTTCCACCAGCTTGAAACACCTGGCCTTCCAGGTGCGCCTGAGAGAGGCCCCCAATCCGCCTCCTCCTGGAAGCCTTCCCTGCTGCTCCTAACACTGAAATCTCAGTTACCCCTCACAACACCAAGCTATTGACCACACGCTCCTTCATACTGTGTTTATTTCTACACTGCCAGAAAATGCACAGGATTTGGCACCTCAAAAGTAGCCCCCCCAAGTACTTGAATAAATAAAAGAAGTATCATGTTCTTACTTTGTCTCCTTCTAGCCCTATTTCTAGAATTCTACTCTAATTCTATTCTATTCCATTCTATCCCATTCTATTTCTAGAATTCACTAGGTTTCTTCTAATGATCATATAATACCAAATGCTTCTGAAGTTCCCAATTGACTTTGAATAAAGCTCAATACACAAGGCTCTTTAATCACCCGATTTGCACGCACTCAGTGCCATGCCCACGGGAGGGGACACTGAGGGGACAGCTATATTCCACTTAGAAATTAGCCACTTTCTGAGTTCTGGGCCATCACCGCACAAGCCTTGGCAGGGCGGTCCCAGGGGGCTACTCACTCAGCCAGCTTCTTCCACGGTTCTGGGGTGGCGGTGCGGGGAGTGAAGGAGGGGGAGAAGGAGGGACAGCAGCAATCGTTTATGCCAAGTGTTGGCTCTGTGCTGGGTCTGAGGGGGCCCTTCGGGGCTATCATCTCATTTACTATCCGATGACCCCGAGGCACAGTTACCTGCCTCCCCCTTCAGGTTGGGACTGTGGGTACTGGAGACACTGGGCCCTCACCCAAGATCACACAGCTGCTGCTACATGTGTCTGGTGTCTTTCCTTTCATTTTTTTTTAACTGAGATGTGTTTCACATACCATAATGGTTCACCCTGGTAAAGTATACAATTCAGTGAGTTTTAGAATATTCTCATGGTTTGTGCAAATAGCGCCACTGCTTACTTCCACCACTCATACCCTTTAGCAGCCACTCTCCGTTCCTTCTCTGCCTTACCGCCCCCCCCCGCCCCCCGGGGCAACCACTATCTACTTTTTGGTCTCCATGGAGTTGCTCATTCTGGACGTGGAGTATAAATGGATCATGCAATATGGGGCCTTTTGGGTCTGGCTTCTTTCACTTCGCATGATGATTTCAAGGGCCATCCACGCTGGAGTACGGATCAGTCCTTCCTTTTTATGGCTGAATAATATTCCACTGTGTGGATGGACCCCATTCCTCCACCGACGGACATGTGGGCTGTTTCCACTTTTTAGTTACTGCGAGTAGTGCTGCTACAAACATTCACGTACGAGTGTTTGTGTGAATAAGTGTTTCCGTTTTCCGTGGGTACACACCAAGGAGTGGAATTGCTAGGCTCTGCCATGACTCTGTTTAAGCTTTTGAGGACCTGCCAGACTGTTCCCACGGTGGCTGCACGATTTCCACCCCACCCCTGCCACCCCCCCCAGCAGTTAGGAGGGCACATCCTGCTTTCTGAAGGCACAGCCCACCCTCTCTCCCTCCAGGCACCCTCGGGGGCAAGTGCACCGCCCACCACAGGCACTGCCACGTGTTCTACCTTCAGCGCCTGCTCCTTAAAGTACTGCAGGGCGTAAGCGAAGATTTCCAGGGCTTTGATTTTCTTGCCATTTGCTGCTGTCAGGTCTGTATCCAAGGTGAGGTCCTTCCAAGAAGAGAGGAATGAAACAGTTAGAAGGCAAAAGACAGACATGCTTTGTAGCTTTAAAAATGGCTACACAGAGTTCTGGGGAAGCTGGTGAGCCATATCCATGTTTCCCACTGTTGGAGAGGCAGACTAGGATGGGGTGTCCCCCCAAAACAGGCCTGGAGGTATACTCTTTGTACTGGGTAGGAGGCCCTGGCTGTTCCCTTCAGCCCCGCCTCCACTTCTCCCTCCTTTCTCTCTCTCTCTCTCTCTCTCTTCCTCCCTCCCCCTCTCTCCTAGATCCTCTGGGAGCCAGGTTTCAGGGCAGCGACAGAGCCCAGGAACTGAGAAAGGCAGCAGACGCCACTGCCAGTGCAATTCACACAATATTTCCACGAGTGGACACACAGGGTCACCCTCAGGAGCGCCCCAGCAGAGGCTTACATAATCACGTCAACTCACTAACATGCATGATGCCAAACAGACCTGAAGCTTTCATTCCCCAATGAGCTGCTGGCCAAGTCACCAAAATAGAAGAGCTCCTATTTTAAGGCTTCTGCTGCCTGATCGCCTGGAAGCCCAGCACCCCTGCCTCCCTTCCTCCACCAGAGGCTGAGCGCCCAGAGTCCTTGGGGTGGAGGATGCTCTGTGAAATGCTGTATAGACCGAAGTCATTAAAAAATGACAAGAAATGTCCCTGCAGAGTGGGGATGGGCAGAGAAAGCCCCCCAGCATCCCAGAACCAACAGGCTCGTTACCACCAAAGAAAAAAATCAGTGAGGCCTCCGGATGGATCCCAGATGGGTGATCAGGCTTTGCCTTTGGAGTACAAAGGTGCATTGAGCTGCTAACCCAGTCCTGTGAAGCCTGCCAGTCATCCTGACTGACCTGCACAAGCTCCCTCCTCCTAGTCAGCCACTTCTTGCCTCTGATCCTCAGTAAAGACACCCCAGCTTTTGGGCAGCAGCTCCCAGGCTCAGAAACATGGCCAAGCACTAGGAAGCCACAGGCTCAGAATTTTAAAAATTCAAATCGAAAAAATTCCTGTGCGTCCACCCATGTAAGCTGAAATTCAGCCCTGAGTCTTGTCAGGTGAAGTGGGAAAGATGCCTTTCCAGCAGAAGCTGGTCTGCTTCGCAGAGTGACAACCACACCACGAGCACAGAGCCCTGGAAAGTGGGGGGCTCTGTTGCTGGGTTCCCCCTAATATTTGTTTTGTCATCTACAAGCATGGAATATCGACACATGAAAGCAACAGCAATAGGAGCTGGTGATCCACCAGAACTGAGGCAGTACCAGCACAGTTCTAGAGCTCTGTGTATTTTGGTTCCTTCTATCCTTACAAACCCCCATGAAGGAAGCACCGTCAGTGCGTCCACTTCACAGATGAGGCAAAAGGAGTCACAGAGAGCTTGGGGACTTAGATTAAGTATCTGGACAGTGGCAGAGGCAGGATTTAAACCCAGGATGTCTGTCCCGGAGTCCTGGTCTTAAACACTATCGCCACCTTGAATCTCTAAGTACTGAGAATTAAGAAAAATGTCCACAAAGCTTGAAGGAGAAGCCCTAGCTGACCCAGACATCTCACAGAGCTCGGGCAGGCTGGGGGCAGATCTGCTGTGGGGGTAGGGCCTCCAGTTATTGAGCAGCCAACTCCCTGAGCTTACCCCTTTCCCAGGCAGAGGTTAATGGGCCAGTCATTACTTCTGAACTAGTTAGGTAACAGCCACTGCCCTTACTCCCCAAATGTCCCCATCCCCAAGTCCCTCCTTCAGGGTTCCCCGATCTCCCCAAAATCTAGCAACTGAAGGGGGGGTCTCCTGGCATAGAGTCTGCAGGCCCCAGGCCTCAGGCCTGTGCTCCAGCCAGCGTCCACTCTGACTGGTCAGTTTCCACTCTGACTGGTCAGTTTCCAAGGCAAACCAGTCCTTAAATGTGCTGAGCATCCCCTGCCTGCATGCACATCAGAAGGGCTATGTGGTCCATGGAAGTGCTGGGTGCTCCCTGTCATTGCTGAAATCAAGGTAAAAGGACATGGATTTCTGCTCGGGAGAGAGCGGAGGGTGCCCCGGGTTGGAAGGACCCACCCTCACAAGCCCGGAGGAGTCCCAGTTGTCCACTGCAGGGGACCTGGGGGACAGGGAGAGGCTCGCTTACCCCAGTGGTATGCAGCTTCATCTTGAACCTCTCCAGGTACAGCCACTGCTTGGCCTCGTTGGGATCCAGGTCGTGGTAGAAGTCCCTGGCGGCGTACCCGAAGCTGTGGAACTTCCTCTCGGGGGTCAGCAAGATGGTGGTCGGGGTCTTCTGGTTGGACACCCCAGGGTCACCGCCTTCCCATCGCCTGCCACCGAGGGAAGGCAGAGGGTATGGCACCTTCTTTTGAAATCCCAGGGAAATGCCCCAGGACCAGAGAAGGCAGAGGTGACAGCTGGTGGGGCAGGGAGAAGAATGTAGGGCTCAGGAGGGACTTGGGGGGGATGACAGATAATTGGACTTGAAGGAGGCAAGGATACCACAGGCTGCTCAGAGGTGGGCAAGCACGGGGCATGAGTGTGCGGGTTAAAGAACAAAAGTGCACATGAGAAGATTATATCTACACATAGGAAGTGTGAGAAACGAGTTTGGGAAGGTGGTGGGGGCCAAAGACTCAGCGGGCAGGCCATGGCCGGATGCAGGGAGCCGGTGTTGGCACTGGGCAGACCAGAATCTTCATAGGCAGTTGGTCTCATGTAAACAGGGTGGATGGGAGGGCTTGCTGGGCTGCTGTGTGCACAGGGTGGGACAGGGAGCGTCCTCAGCACAGAGCATGCCCCAGGAGGCCCAGAGCAATGCCAGGGGGACCTTCGGGGTTCACTGGCTTTTTCTCGGGCACGATGCTTTCTGCTGTGGCCACTGCCATCACTTGGAAGAACTGGCACCTTCCCTGCTTGTATTTGCTCTGTGCTCAGCACTTGACCGGAAATCTCATTTCGTCTGTACTTTGCACAACCACCCTGCCTGGCAGGCATTGTCGCCACCCCCATTTCACAGGTGAGGAAACTGAGGTTTGGAAGGTTTAGCAATCGCTCAAGGTCACACAGTAAGTGTCCACCAAAGACACCCTGTTAAGTGGGCACCCTCCTCCAGGCTGCAGACTGACCTCTCCCGGGACAGGTTTCAAACATGCCACTCACGCCCCTCCCCAGACCAACTAAGTCGGAATTAAACTGACACTTTTACAGACCACAGATCTGGAGCCTGGAGATCAAAGTGGCTTGCCCAAAGTGGCACAGTGAGTTTAGGGCTGAGTTGGGCCAGAATCCAGAAGCCACCGAAGTGCCATTCACCCGCTCCTTGAACTAATCCAACTCCCCATCCCCCGTACTCCCACCAAGTCTCCAGTGCAGTGGCCCCTCCTGGTCCATAGCCCTCACCTCATCACGTGAATGCACTCTGGCTCCTTGGTGAAGCTGTAGGCGTAGCCGCTTGACGTGGTCCCGAAGTCAATGGCCACCACCACAAGAAACGTTGGCTGCTCTGAGACATTCGAGTCAGCATCGTTCTGCAGATATATCGAGCAAGATAAGGGTGGGGGGGCCACACCTGGCCTTCAGGAAGATACCCCAGGTGCTCCCAGCCTCACAGAATGAGGACAGTCCGCATTCTGGCTCAAGCCCTGGGAAGAGGGCAGGCCGGCCTCAGCACAGGCAGGCGTCCCTAAGTGAAGGGCCATGCCCACTGGGCAAGAGCACCTGCTTTCGGCTTGTCTCCGCTCCCTTTATCAACTGTGCAAGAGCTCCACCATCAGGGCCAGAAGCCCAGGGGATGCCTGAACAACACAATCTTCCTCCCACTGTCCCCACAAGTCCCTGTGCAGACATCCTGCCACTGGCAGAGCGCTTTACCAGCCATGCCCTGGGCACCTCCCAGGTGACCACTCCACCTGCAAGGGTGTGTCATGCCCAGGAGCAGGGCTCCTCCTACCAGGGACCCTGCCTGGTCCATCATAACCACACAGGACTCTGGTGGGTCCTGCCCCACAGGGCCCTGAGCCATTCTTCGTCTGTCAAGGAACTGGGCCAGACCATTCCAGGTTTCCAACCTGTTTTTTTAAAGCACTGTAGACTTTTTGTTTCAACAATCACAGAACTAAAAATGATCAAAGCAAGCAATTTGGGGTTCTGAGTACATTGGTTACAGCAGGAGGTGAGAGCCCCTCATCTGGCCTCTCATCATTCTGCCCCCCATTGCCCAAGGTGACCCTGGAGCTCTTATGGGGAACATTCAGGGTGCACAGGACCTGACCACTGGTGACCAGGTATCTCAGTCTTCCCAGGAGTGAAGATGCAAAACTTCCCATTGCAAAACAAGGCAGTTCTGGGAAAACCAGGATGAGCTGGTGCCCCTCCCTAGGGGGGCTCCATTGTCCTTCTCAGAGGGGTCTTGCTGGATCTGAACAGCTCATACAAAGCTTCCCAGTGCTTCTGGCCCTCTTCTCTGCTTGGGTCCATGTAAGTCCCTTGCATGGCTGCCCACACTACCCACCCACTCGGGGTGGGGTAGGGCAGGAGCCACAGCCCAGTCCCCAGCCCCCTCACTGCAGGCACATGCCTGCACAGCCCCCTCTCCCAGCATAGCTGTTGCAGAAGTGATTACACAGCCACAGGCTTTCGAACGTGGTAGTGAACCACAGTCGACAAAGACACTGGCTCTCACTGACTCACCAGCCGGATGTGGCTGCTTCCTTCCGAGGAGATGTCTCGCACCCTCTGAGCCCCGCATCGTTAAATCCCACGGGACTGCTCCTGCTGCCCACCCAGGCCCATGGTGGGAGAGCCCAGGCCCAGCCACACCAGGCCCAGGGTGGGAAAAGGACTGGGGAGGGCGCACGAGGCTGGTGTCAGCACCATTTCATCACCATGAACAGGAGGGGCTGCTCAGTAGCCTCACGAGAGCAGACCCAGAAAGCCACAAGTAATCAGCACACACTCCCACACACAGATACACATTTCTTACCACAATATGGGAAGGGGACAGAGGCGTGATCCCTGTGTCCCCAAGACTCCGGGCCGGAGATGAGTATGCAGACGTGGGGGCCGTCTCTGGAAATAGAAAGACAAGACGCGCTGCTCAGAGGAGGCAGGGGCTGGCCCAGGGAGCAGGCACGAGGTCTGCGTGGCTTTGCTCCTACGGCCGAGGTCTCCTCTGCAAAGCCGGCTGACGTGGCGGGCAAGGCTGACCCCAGCCGTGAAGGGAAGCTGTCCGCATTCCCTTGCATTCAGGATGGAAACTTGATCAAAGACATGTTTTTTTTCTCCCAGGGACCAGCAGACCTCTCACCCTGTGCCACCCAACCCCCACCTAGAAGAAATGCTGCCCAGTCCCCAAATCACCTCTCCTTCCGGCTCCTGCCCTCTCTGGGGCCAGCTCTTAACCCAGCCTCCATTAAGGAGCAGTGGTGCCGTGGTCCCCCGGGAAGGATGTGCAAACCTTTATGTGCATTTTCTGAGAAGAGGATCCACAGCCCTCAGGTCACCAAAGGGGTGTGGGACCTCACCCCCACAAAATCAACAACCACATAGGACATGAGTGCACCTTCCAGAAGGTTGCTTAGTGGAGGCATTGCTTCCTCCCTCTCTGTAGCACAAGACCCCACCAGAACAGAGGCCTCGTCCTCTCCAGTGACCCTGTAAGAAAACCCACAGCACAAAGATGGGTAGGCTGGCATTCCTGGCCCCTGAAGGCAGGGTCCCACGACAGATTCGAGATCAAATTGGAGAAGGGCCAACAGCTAAGAAGCCCCAACATCATCCTGCCAACTGCCCTGCCATTTGTTCCTGCTATTATTCAGGCCCAGACATTTGTTCTGAAACCCAGACACAGCCCATGGCTCTCCCCCAGGGGTGAGCACCCACGGAGAAGTCACACTGTCCCCGGTCAGTGCTGCAGGCTCCATGCTGCTGTCCCTGCCCACTGCCCAGGACTGGCAGGGCTTGCCCATCAGGAACTGTGGGCACCCACTGCGGAGACCATGCCAGACTCTGGGCACCTGCGCATTTGCCAGGCACCATCCAGACGTTCTGCAAATGCTGCTCCACTCAGTACATAGACCCAGCAGCTGGGAGGAAAACAATGGGTAATCTGCTAAAACAAAACACATGGTCAAGGACGTGCAGAGGGTGTGAGGTATCTGAGAAAGGCCTGTGTGCTTCTAGAGGAGACTGGCAGTGGCCCCTGCTGCCTCTGCTGCCCATCACCTGGGTTACTCCCACGGGCTTACTGATTCCTTTTTCCTGCTTGGTGAGAGCTCAGCGGGCTGAGGGGTGAAATGAATCATGAGAGACTGAATGTGAAGCTCCAGTTCTGCACGGCCACCTCCCCTCTCTGCAGGCGTAGGGTCCCCTCGGATGAGGCTCAGTTCCGACCTCGGGGAGCAAGGTGTTGAGGCAAAAAAACCAACTTGCTGGGCAAAGGACTTACACAGGCATTTCCCCGAAGAAGATAATCATGTGAAAAGATGTTTCACATCAGCCGTCACTACAGAAATGCAAATCAAAACCACAATGAGACACCGTCTGACACCCACCTGCGTGGCTGTCACAAGAAAAAACAGAAACGACGAACACTGGCAAGGATGTGGACAGACTGGAACCGTGTGTGTGTCTGGTGCAAAACGGCACAGCCACCGGGGAAGGGTCTGGTGGTTCCACAGAAAGTCACTTGTAGAATTACCGTATCACCCGGCAATTCCACTCCTAGTGATCTACCCAAAATAACTGAAAATGGGGATTCAGCCCTCATGTGGCTCAGTGGATAGAGCATCGGCCCAGGAGCCAAGGGGTCACGGGTTTGATTCCCAGTCAGGGCGCATGCCTGGGTTGTGGGCCAGGTCCCAACCTGGTGGCATGTGAGAGGCAACTGATGGATGAATCTCTCGCATACTGAGATTTCTCTCCCTCCCTTTCTGCCTCCCTTCCTCTCTCTTTAAAAATAAACAAAATCTTTAAAAGAAAGAAAACGGGGGTTCAAACAGATACTTGTATGTGAATGTCACTGCACTCACAGTAACCAAAAAGTAGAAGCAACCCGAGCACCCAACAGCAGACAAACGGATAAACAAAAGGTAGTGTATTCACACCATAGAATACTGTCCAGCTATAACGAGAAATAAAATTCTCATATATGTCACAACATGGATGAATCCAGAACTCATCATGCTAAGCGAAACAACTAGACACAAAAGGACGAATATTGCATAATTCCACTGATACGAAATATCTATTATAGGCAAATTCACAGAGACAGAAAAGTAGATTAGAGGTTGCCGTGGACTAGGGGGAGGGCAGAACGAGGTGTGCAAAATTTCTGCTTTGGGCAATGAAAGAATTTTGGAAATAGATAGTGGTAATGGTTAAACAATACTGCCTGTAATTAATTCCACTAATTTGTAAACTTAAAATGGCTAAAATGGCAAATTTTAGGTTTTATATGTAACATATACTTTTCTACTTTACCTCAACAAATATTTTTATTAAGAAAAATCAGCATGCACATCTGAGAGGGGAAGCAAGTTTCAGTTCCTATTGCACATTAGCACCCACGGCTCAGTGCTCCTGAAAGCAGAATGGAGCTATAAGCAGAGGCCCCTGGACCAGCCTGCCGAACTCCACCTTCTCTGCTAATCTCCTAGCACAAGGGCGCCCACTTCCACGAAAGCAAGGGGCATCCAGCCTCTCCACTGGGGGGCCCAGCCGGATGATCCTTTCCACCTGTTGGGGAGAAATCTGCCCCGCCCATGGGCCCTGGGGCCGCCAGCAGGGAGATGCCATCCTGCCCTGGGAGCCACCTTCTCTCCACCTGCTACCTGGAAGGCCTACGGCCATGTGTCCACATTTGCACAGAAGGTCTTGGAAGAAACCAAATGTCTAATTGCCCAGAAAATCTGGTGTTGGCAATTAGCAAACAAGCTATTATCTGCAGACAAACCATCCACCCCGCTGTCTGCTCGGTTCTCATTATCCCATCACTCAGCCCTCTCAGGGCATGGCCCACTGACTTGCAAAACAGCATGTGTTGGGCCACACAGGCCTGGGGCCCCAGAGGACTCCAGGATACGTGAGGGCAAGAACCAAGGATCTCTGGGGCTCTCCCTGTGCTTTCCTCCCCCTCTGCCTCTGATCAGCACGAAATAAATCATTTGACTTGCTGATCACTCAAGCAGGCCTAGGAGCAACTGAACTTCACGGACTTCTTCCATCAGAAATTAAAATGCAGCCACGCTGTGCAATGACGTAAAACTGATCTGCGGAGAAGGTATTATAGATACATGAATATCACGCACGCCCACACCTATAGCTCTGCACATCCCAAATCAAGGATAACTCACCACTTTGTGTACATCAATCCATCACAGGAACACACAAAGCCCAGAGTGACGACTTTGTTCTCAACCTAGTATTTCTTTATTTAATTAAGTGGTGCTCAAAAATTTGGGGGGAAAAGAATACGGAAAAACCTGCTTTGGCCCCCGATGGGTACAGAAAGCTTTTGGTGGGCTGATAGCCCCAGCCAAGCCTGAGAGCCTCCATTCAATAAGTGATGAGAAATGAACACAATATTACGTTGGTCTCAGAAGACATGTCAGATCTGTGCTAAGAGACAACAGGAGAGAGCTGACCCATGAAATGTTTGGACGCACAAAGGACGTGCTGTGTGTCCGGGCCACAGTTACACAGAGGCCATCTCCCACTGTAAGCAGTTGGGACTGCCATTAGCTGTGGCCCTGGGCACGCTTCTCTATAAAGCCAGTACAATGGCATCTGCCCCGTGACGGCTCCTGGCTACGTGACATTCCAGTTCAGTGCTCACAGGCCGACTCGGACACATCGGGAAGAGAAGAGAAAGGCAAAAATAAAAGCCTGCGAGAATGAAGGTTTTTAGAGCACAGGCTTGGAGGACAAAAAGGAAACTGATGGACAGAAGCTGAGACCCGTCTGTAGAGGTGGGGAGAAGAGACTGGAAAAATGAGAGATTAAAGGAAAATGCTTTACCAGGGAGTGTGGTCGAGGGCAAAGCCAAAAAATCTGGGCGTTTTTAAAGAAATACTCGACTGCTTCAATGAGATTAGGCAGATCTCAGAGCATCTCACCTGTCAAGGACTAAGTCATCCTGATATGCAGTGACAGAGGGATTTGATGATTTCACATCAAAAAACTGGAAGAACGCTGACCATTTGAGAATGCGAACAACAATGGTGACATGAGAAGACCCTGACGCTTTCTGATAAACCAACAGAAGATATTTGTCAAATCTTTTCGCTATTAATTTGAGCTAATTTCACATCCATTCTGTCTTGTATATTCACCATGCCATCTTTTGCAGTTGAGTGCATATAAAAATGAGTTGATTAGGCTGTTTCTAGGTTGACTCTTAACTTGGGACCCACCCACTCCCCCCAAATACATCATTTTAAAATAATTTTTGCAGCAAAGGGGGTACAGAAATAAAAGAGAATATTTTTGCAGCAAAGTAGAGGATATAAATGCGTACAAGTGTAAGTCTCTTGCCCCGGGATTTTTTTTTTAGAATCCCGAACCAGGTAGCTGAGGAGGAACTAGTTTAACTCATTAGGTGAAACCCCTCACTTGCCTCTGCCACATAAGAACTAAAGGCAGATTTCAGCTGGGCTTCTGCTATAAAAGTGTGAGACACGAAAAACTCAAGTCACATTTTATTTGCTACGGGCTCGACTGGCTTTAATCAAAGCAAATGTTCTCAAAATAAAAAACAGTCTTGACAAGAGTCTATGAAAGATAGCCATAATTCAGGAACTCGCTTGTTGCTCTCCTCTGCTGGAGACATTAGTCAGCAAATGGCCATGAACAGAATCACAGACTTTCTGAGATACATAAAATCGATCTTGTTCCACAAACATAACATTTTAAAGGATGAAGACAGAACTATTGGCCTGCCTTTGTTGTACAAGGCTCCAGGCCCATGTGAAATGACAGATGGCCTCAACCGTAGTGACACCCCAGCTTTTCCAAGTGGGCCTCCTTGCTACCTCTTGGATGTATGCATCTACCAAATAAATGCCCAATCT